AATTGATGATATTCTTGAAAATATGACTTTCGATTTCAAAAGTATTTTTAGTCTTGATGATATTTCTTATTGGCTCTTGATTTCACTCAATTGATAAAATATGACTCTCAATTAAACATGTTTTTAATTGTAAAATAACTTATCAAAGTTTTTAGGATGTTTTCTTTGTTTTAATCATTTAAATGGTCGATTTAATTAATTAAAGAGTTAAAATGTAAGAAAGAAAATAAATCTTTAAAAAATAAACTAAATGTCTTTTTAGTCTCAAATATCATTTTGTTTCAATAAAATCACTATTTTTAGTCTCAATGACATTTGTTGTGGTTATCAATTTTAATCCATCCATGACGACATATTTGATGAAACCAAAATATCAAAGATATTGTAAGCATCCAAGGAAAGTCATTAAGCTTAAATAAACATGATTGTGTTATTACCAAAAGACAAAAAATTTAATCAAGATGCATAGTTCATGAAAAATGCCAAGAGACACTATTACATAAACTAAACTCCAAATAAACTAAAATATAAAATCAAATATTGTTACATAAACATTTCTATCATATCAAAACAAAAACTTTGATAATATTATTTAAAAGGTTGCTAGCCTAAATTATGAGTGATTAGAATGACAAAATTCTTTCTACCCTTTGTCAATTTTTCTAGTGCACCTCTAATAAAAAGTTTACAACTAACTCAATAATATTCTCCAAAAAGTATTATAGTTTTAAATCTACCTTTCCGAATATAAAATGCAAAATCCACTAGCAAGTCCTATGATAAAAATTAATAGAGCATCATATCGATGAGAAAAAAAAGGATGTAATTTGTATTCTCCTTGATGTCATTTGAATACTGTTGGGAATCCAAATATGATTCTAAGTCCTACATTATGTAAGAATGAGAAAGTTAAACAACATATAAAGAAATATGACCCATAATATAATGTCTTAAGGTTTTTGGTTGAGAATAATGTCAATTTCTTATATGGGTCAGAGTGGTCTTTGTATCGGAAGTCTTCCTGACAGAGTGATCAGTCAGGTAAGCGTTTCCTGTTAGGATGAACGCAGTACATGGAAAGACCACTATCTACTAGTGAGAGATCGAGGGAGATTTGTCAACGTGGAGAAATTCATACGTCAGGGAGAAATTGTTGAGAATTCATATAAGAAAATATGACCCATAATCTAATGCTTTAAAATTTTAAATTGAAATTGATGTGTATCCCTTGTATGGTTAAACTCATGATTCATTTCTAATAATAATAATAATAATAATAATAATAATAATAATAAAAAAAAAAAAAAATAAAAAAATAAATAAATTTCAATTTGAATAACACAAATTTTTTAGAATATGTTCCCTTAGTTACGGAAATTTGACAAAAAATAAAGGTAAAGCAAATGGTACATAACGATACTCGTAAGCCTAAAAATAAGACCTGGCAGATGGAAAAAACAGCAAAACTTGACAAAATAAAAAAAAAAAACTTTACAAAACATAAACGAATGATATGAGAAGATTAGTTGAGAAAAGACGCATGACGAAAAATGTTAAATGTTTCTTTTGGATGTTGATTTTAATAATAAGTTTGCTAGGTCTGCTACGTGAAGGGTGAGTGAGAAAAAAATTGAATATGCAGCAGAGAAACACAAAATGAGAAGATGAGAGAGTGAGTCATGAGTAGGTGAGAATATAAGAAGGTAAGGGAGTGATAAGCATGAGGAGGGTGGGACAGGTGTGATGAGAAAGTGAAAGGAGAGGCTGAGACACATGTGATAAAAAAATGAAAACGTGAGATAGTGGATTTTTGTCTTTTTCTTAAAATGGTATTGTAAAAAGTTTTTTTTTTTAATTTTGAAGTGTCGACACGTGTTATTTATTGTCTTTTATGTTACCTTCAAAGGCACTTTTACAAAATATGGACCAATGATACGAAAAGAAGATTATATGATGAAAGATGCGTGATAAAAAAAACGTAGAGTGTTTATTATGAGATGCTGATTTGGCGAAGAAGAAGTAAGAATAAGTTTGTTAGGTCTCCAAGTATTTAAAGGTGAGTGAGAAAATGTTTAAGTGAGTAAAAAAACGTGTAATGAGAAGGTGAGATATGAATAGATGAGACGTGTGTGTCGAAAAATTGAAAGGAGAGTGTGAGACAAACATGATAATGAGGTGAAAAGGAGAGAAATTGAATTTTGTCTTATTTTTTTAAATAGTGTTATAAAAATTTGAATTTAATTTTAATTTTTTTTTGTAAAATTTTATAGTAGAGACACGTATTATTTATTCCTTTTATATTACCTTCAATAATAATAATAATAATAATAATAATAATAATAATAATAATAATAATAATAATAATAATAATATATAATATTATAGATTTTGTTTTTTGCATTCAACATTTTTTATGAGAGATATATATTACATTTCATCACTAAATAAATTATTTGATAAAAAAATCTTATGGAAATGTACGAATGAAATAAAAATTTCAAATTAATATTTGTTTATTGTGTGAGGAACTGGTATTTTATAATAAAATATAATATTTGATACATCTAAACTTCATACTATTAAAATAATAATTTTATTAATAAAAAAACTTTTATAAGAAACTTAGATACTCTAAGCCAATTAAAGAAAGAGGAAAAAGAAAACCTAAGTTTAAATTATACATCTCTTTGGAGTCTTCCTCCTCTGTCTCTCCTGATGAGTATGTTTGAGCTCCACCAAAAATGGTGAGTACAAGAAAAAAGTATTTCAATATTAAAATTAACATTTTCTTCGTAATGAGAATAATAAATATTAATAAGTTAAATCTTATTCTCATTTATAATAAAAATTAGCATTTTAAAAATTTTCAAATATAAATAAATTCTAACTACTTTTTCTTCATTTAATCATATATTTTTTAAACACTCTACCTTTAATTAATGTTTGATCTTGGATCATTATGTGATATATATATATATATATATATATATATATATATATATATATATATATATATTTAAATTAGCAATAATATAGGCCTTTTTAATATTATTTTATTAAAACATTATTGCTCTTTCAATACAAATATTTTGGTAGTTGAACAACTAACATAACCGTAATACTTAAAATTCACTAAAATCTACGTAATTTATATGATGATAAATTAAGAACAAAATTTAGTAGCGCACTATAAATTGAGAATATCAATTATTTGAGGACAAATTGAAAATGCTACAACTGCATATAATTTCAGAAGGAGGATTTTAATTAGATTTAAACGTTTTTTTTTACATTTTTCAATTTTTTTCCTTTTTCACTAATTTACTTTTCATAATCTCTTGTTGACTATTATCTTTATGAACACCTTTATTTATTATAAGGAGAGTCTCTTAAAAAAAAAACAAAATTGATGCTGACATTAATAATATCTTTTAAACATGAACTTCTACAACATTATTTCTTTAACACTAAAATTATACTTCCTCAATTTTTAAATAATTCTGAGTTTATATATATATATATATATATATATATATATATATGATTTATACAATTTTAGATTATATTAATTATCATTTTATCAATTATATTTTATTTTTCAATTATATTTATCATAAAAAAGTAAATTATTATGAGTAAATTTAGATTTAGAAAATATTAAGATAATAAAGATATTGATAGAAAAAATTAATAAATATATTAAAAATAATAAAATTAAAGTTTATCTTGATTTAATTCATATATTTAAATGCGAAGAGTACATTTTAATTTAACATGCACCTATTAAAAAAAATTATCTATATATTTATAAACTAAAATACTCCGCCTATTTAATATAACATTTTTTTAATAAAATTTAATGCTTCATTATTATAAATAAAGGTATAATTAGAATAATAGTGTAAATGTTATCACAAATTTATAAAATGATTATAATTTTATAACAAAAAAAATTGCTAAAATAACTATTGTTTTGAAACGAAGAAAGTCTTAGATTTCCTCCTCTAATGTTTTCAAAGCTTTGGCTAATGGGAAGTTTTTTTTTCTTCCAACAAAATTAAGGAAAATCCATATAAAATAATATTTACAAATTAAATCGTGTGAAATAAATGTTACATTAACTCTCATATAAAATTACAAGGTTTAATTTTTTATGAGTTTTCTTATTAACTCCTTTTCACTACTAAGCATGTATATAATAAATTCAATTAAACATGAGTTTCAGTAACAAGAATATTTAAGTCACACAGTGGTAAGAAGCCTAACACTAAACATATGCATCCTCTGGGATCTCCAATTGAGATAAAACTTGGCACGTCACATGAACATGAGATGAATTAATGGTACGTTGAGAGAAATTTCTCCTTAAACAATTATAGGAAAAAAAAAAGTTTATCAATGAATAAATAAACTAATAGACATTATATCATCTTAGGTTTTTTATAATCTTATTTAACTCATGCATTAGTTGATTTTAACTTATCAAAACTTGATTAAATGTTTCAATCTTATTTTCCCTCTTTTATTAGTGGTTATGGGAAAAAAATTATTAGAAGGAAGTTGGATGCACTTAGTATAGAATTTACATTCCAACTCAAAGATCTTTAGATACATATTCAGTAGTGAGAAAGTGGCCTTAAAATCAATAAATAGTTATTTTAATTGGACACTTTTGCAAGTATAAAATTTACATTCCAAGTTATAGTCCGTGCTTATCATTATTATTCAAGTAATAGATACCAAATAAAATAACAATGTTCTGATCATCTTTTAAACAAGACAAACAATCCTTCAACCCCAGCAACAATCTAAATTCAGGATGCTAATTCCATCACTGAAACATGATGAATGAAGAAGTAGCAATTGAGGCTCTAAAAACAAATGGAGGAAAAGAAATCAGAGAGTTATCAGCAAGTGCTAGATAATTAAGTCTTTCATGGAAATAATTTAACATATGCTTTACAAATCACAGATAATTCAGTTATGACCATCTTTTAGATTCAACAATCAGTTCTCCCTACTAAGAAGTTGAGTGCTTTCATCTTTATCGTTTGATAATCTCCGTTACTAAGATCAAGGGGTTCTGTATCCGGGGTTTCACTATGAACATAACTTACCAATCCATCATAGCGAGTGACTGAGATATGCCTTTTCTCTAAGCATAACTTGAGAATCTCAAGGGCTAAATCCAAGTCTCCTTTCTCTTTCAGGTATTTAACACATGCAATCAGAACAAAGGGAAGTGGTCTACTTAGATTTGCCGAGACAGCTTTCTTCATTGCCTGAACTGCTTTCTCCATATCATTACCTGCGTGATAGCCAGATGCCATTAGGTCCCATGTTCTTCCATCTAATTGCTTGCCACCATCCAAAAGCCGTTTGATATAGGCCTCAGCCTTATCGAACTGACCCCGTTTACAATAAGCAGTGATCATCAAATTTGGAATTCTGGCATCAAAATCTACATATTTAGATTCCCATTCTTCCAAGATCTTCTCTGCCTCATCAATGTCATCCAGCTTTATTAACGAGCTCAACATACTCATGTAACTTGAGTTGCGGAAAATTTTAAAATTTTTGCAAATATTCCAAAGCCGATAAACCTCATCCTTGTTCCCAATCATTGCATACATAATTTGAATAGATTCATAAGCAAGTCTCCTAGTCTTGCCTCTGGCTAAATGCTCTGATTTCTTTAACATTGCCGTGACCTTCTCAAAATTATGTACTTTCCGATAACCATTTGCTGCAGTAGTGTATGTACACCAGTCAATGGTTGCCAAGGGATCAGCTTCCATTTCCATAAGCAACTTCTCCATACCCTTTATGTCTAAGGCGGCCACATATGCATTTAACCCTATGATATATGTAGTACCATTAAAGACATCCTTCTCTTTCATTTCGCATCAACCTATCCAATTTCTCATATTTACCCATCTGAGCATAGAGATTCAACACCATATTATAACACATAGTTATATTCGCAGGATGAGACTCCTTAATTTTCTTCATGACTGCCTCTGCTTTCTCCAGAGATTTATGATGCACATAGCATCTTAAAAGAGCAGCATATATCTTAAACTCAACTTTAGCATCAGGGAGGCCTCTAAAATATCTCTCTGCTTGTTCAAGCCCATGGACTCTTGATATCAGGTTGATCTGTTTTGCAATGCCTTCTGGAGACAAGTTATAGTTCCTTTCATTGCTCATCCATTCCATAACCTTACAAAAAACATATTTCCTTGACGCTTGATTTTAAAGGGGTCAAATATAATACAACACATTGAGTAGCAAACAAAGCACATAAGGATCCAAGCAAATAGGAATAGAATTCAACAGAACATGGATCCTACCTCTCAACCAGTTTCTCTATATTATAAAAAACCAGAAAGACTACAGACTTAAGTTATGTTTGTGTATGTAATAGTAAGTGAAATAAAATGGAACAGAATAAAATCATCATTTCATTGTATGGATAGAATGAAATGGGAAAAACAAAACTAGGTTAAATTGATCCTCATAGTTGCACTCATTTAAGTTTCAGTTCCTATACGAAAAAAAATGAAATTCTTTTATGAACAATGAGATTGCGAACTTACCTGAAGGGCATGTGTGAAGCGACCAGATTGAGAGAGGCGATGAACGAGATATTGGAGCTGAAATTGGGTGACTTCTTTGCCTTCTTCGACCCATTGGTTCAGAATAGGATTCACTGGACTGAAAGGGTCCCCAACCCTCAACACGCGATTTTCAAGACTTGCCACCATGCTTCCCGTCGAGTACATGCACATTCCAAGAGACCCAGAAACAGAAACGCCACAAATTTTTACAAGTTTGCATCTTGATCGTAATAGCATCATTCTTTTTCTCGCTCACCGCTCTCAGCTTGAACTCTCGTAACCAGCACTAGCTATGGCTTCGGTACACAGAGCAAGGGCAGGACAGAGATTTTCTTTCTTTTCCTTCTTCTGTTTTTGGGTTCAACAGGCCCAACAAAAAACATTTTATCCTTCGAAACAATGGGTTTGAGGCCCAGTTTAGGGTTGAAAAACAAATTAACAAACTAGTAACAAAATCAGACTAACAAGTAGATTCATGTCAATAAAAAATATTTATTTTAAATGTTCCTTTAAAAAAATTAGCTTAAGTTTTTTTTTTCTTAATGTCAAGGAACATTATTTGTATATTTTTGTGACATTGGTCTAAGTAATACCATATATTTGATTTAAGTTTTTGTTTATTTGAATGTTAGTACTGTTTTTATTTTTAGTTTTTAATGTTATAAAGGTACCATACTGTAATTACTTCAAATTAAGTTTTTTAAATTGTATTCTTTCATGTATATTTCATAATAAGTACATATCTTAAAAAATAAATATTAATTATTTTTCATTTGTATTTTCATAATAAATGTGTGAATTAAACAAGAAAAATTAAGTAATAAATAAACATATAATTAATAAAAATATATTAATGGTATCTTAAATTTTAAAAAAGAGAGAATAATAATCTAAAATTAATAGGTTATCGAAATGGATATTTATCTTTTTCAACAAATGATGAAACTCCTCTGCTAGTGTGCCTAGGAAATCTTATATACGATCGTATCATGCTTTCATGAATCATTATTTGTAAATAAAGAGAACTAATAATAATTTATTAAAAAATTATAATTAATGGAGAAAAGGAAGAAGAGAAATATAAAAGACACAAAATTGTATGAGCTATTGAATAGGTGGGAGAAGTCAGAGAAATAAAAAGTGCATACAAGTAGAAGTGTTTGAGGAGAAGAATGAAGAGTTTGGGTTGATCGATTAGTTCCCATGTCCCATTTTTCTCAATCGCCTCCATCTTAACATCCATGGCATTTCCCCATCTTTCACTCTTGGCAGCTTCTTCATAATCTGGAGTTGGTTGCTTCCTAGTCCTCCCTTCAACACAATCTGGAGAAGTTTCTTGATTAGTGACAAGAAACTCTTCTGACTATTTATCAGCAACAACTTCTTCTATACAGGAGATTCTTTGATTACATCTTTATCATCATCTTCCCATTCCAGCTCGTAAAGAATGGCCAATTCACGTTGCTTGTCCCATTCCAATTCTTCACTTTCTTCAAAAACTACATCTCTGCTCACTATAATCCTTTTTGAGATAGGAGAAGTTGTAAAATCTGTGATGCTCCTCAGGAACTCTTCATTGGAAACGAATCTGATGATGTTGCTTACCCACAATATTGCTGGTTGAATGAAGACACCCTTTGTTGCCATTTTCGTTGCCTAAAAAACTGTTTAGAAGAATGTTGCTTCTACAGAAGCCTCTTGCGAGACTCTAATGTCAAATGATAAAATAACAGTAGAAGTGTTTTAGAAAAGAAGAAATTATGAAGAAATTTGTATTATTAAATGAGAATTTTTCAGCCTATAAATAACCATGCAAAATAGTCTATAATTGAGAAGCATACTGCTAATATAGACTTCAAAAACTGCAAGACCTGTACTAAAACAAAGAATCCCATAAAGTGGGATTTTATTTTCTGGCTATGAACTAAATGTATATTTTCACAAGATACATGTAAAGTGTAACTGCGTACAATGCATTGCAGACAAATGGACTCTAGCATGCATCAGTTTGTGTCAGGACTTGGGCCAGAAGGTGGCACAAGACCTTTTGGAAGGAACGCTGCAAGGGCTCCAAGTCTTTTCATGTTTCCTCCAATATCTACTAGCCTTCTGGATCTTCCTATGTCATTCAAACGATAAACTCCCCTTCCTTCTGTCAATGAAGTTTCCATAATAGCAGCAACTGCAAACACAAACATTAGCAAACATAGCAACCTTTTGCTATCGTGCATGTAATAGTATGTCATTTTTAGGTGTAACTGTTGTGTCCGAGTTTTGGCATGTTTCGTAAATCACTTGTATATATAGAAGTTCGGAACAAAGTCACCAGGCACTAAACTGTGCCTGTGCCGGCTTTGTGAACGGGGATTGCGTGCAGCAAATGTTTTCTTGTACTTGGCGGCATAGAAATTTGCAGGCTGTGGAATGTTTAATAGTCAACATTGTTGTAAAATTCTCAATGTACACGTTTTGCCATTTGCCATTTGTTTGATTTGGAGTACCATGATAGGTTTGTTTGTAAATCATTTTACTTAGTTTTGCATGGTATAGCATAAATTTGGAACTTGATTCATGACAGACTTCATTGTATTTGTAATATCTTTTTCACTCGTTTCTTTCATGTTTGTTTTGTCGCTAGCCAAGTATAGGTTTTTGTCATTTTACTAACTTCTGCACATAGATAGTTATGGAACATGCTTTTCAATTGTAGTAATTTTTTAATTATATCAATTACTTTAATTTGTGTATATTTAGAAATATTTATACTTTGCCCGTGTTTCTTCTGAAGTTGTGATACCTTATCCCATGAAATTTTGTAAGTGAGAAGTCAAAAAGTAAAAAGCAATATTTTTAAAACCATAACATAAAAAATGAGATGAGTTTACGTTTAAAGATTTAAATTGAATCTTTAAATAATATTTTTTATAAAAATAATTAATAATAAAAATTATAACTATATTTATCATAAATTATAATAATAATTATAAATATAAAATATATAAGAGAATGAAAGATAAATAATAAATAAAATAAGATAAAAAGTAAAATATATTATATTTTTAATAAAAAAAATATATTAAAAAATTTGTTCATACTTTTTTTTATCAAAATCAATTCTTATTTTTACTGATTTTGTTATAATTTAATTAAAATCTAATTATTTAAAAGTAATATATCGATTTCTAATCAGTTTAATCCGATAAATCGATTGGTCCGATCTAATTTTTTAAATAATGGTAAATCTCTTATTAAAAATTATATATTTTATTATATTATGTGAATAACATAATTTTAAAAAACTCAAAAAGATATATCATTCTTTTTATACAATTACTATTATGTTACCTTCTATAATTGAATTTATCTTTGTTAAAAACAAATGCCTACCTACAATAGTCATATATAAATTAGATATGATATAGACATGTTGTTTACATGTTACCTTAGACGAATAATTAGGTAAAGTATGGCAAAAACATTCTTTTAAAGTGAAAATAGATTAAGGTATCCAATTGTTAATTATCTTTTCACCAAAATAATGTTTGAGTTCTTAAGAAGTTTGTTGATGATCTCTTCTCATGAAATGTACCTACTAGCATTGGAGTGGCTTTTGAAAATCCCAAATAGACTTAAGTTATGAATGAAGAAATGAAAATATTGTATAAAAATATATATAGACCCGTATATTTTCTCAACAAGAATTAAAAACCAATAAGATCTAAGTTGATTTTATGAGTAGAATACAATGAATCTATTGAAAGATATAAAATAAGAATATAATGAGAAATGATTTTACACTAACCAAAATTCTCACCTTTAATCAAAGATTGAGCCAAGATGGAGAAATAAAGGGATCACAGTTTTTAGTGAAAAAAATATAAATTTATATTTTATATAAAACTTAAAGAAATATAATGTAACGTACTAAAGAAAACAGAATGAACGTAAAGGGTACAGGAAAAAGGAAGTAACTGAATAGTATGTGCATACATCCATGCATGCAGCTGAAGTATTATTTATATCAGAAAAACATATAACAGAAAACTGAACTTGTAACAGAAGCTTTTTTAGTTTGGCTTATTCAACACTCCTCCTCAAACTAAAAATAACATGAAACATCTACAACACCAAGATTATCTCTGAAACGTTTGAATTTTTCATTTTTCAAAGGTTTTGTTAAAACATCCGTCACTTGTTCATCAGATTTGCAATAATTAATCTCTAGCTTCCCAGCTGCCACTTGCTCCCGAATGAAATGGTATTTAAGCTCTATATGTTTACTCCTACCGTGTAGAGCTGGATGCTTTACGAGGCTTATTGCCGATTGATTATCAATCAGTAACTTCATCTTTTGCACCTGTTCAACTCTCAATTCTCTCATCAGTGTTGTCAACCAGATTCCTTGGCATGCTGCAACATATTCAGCCTCGCAACTTGAAAGAGCTACGATGGGTTCTTTCGTAGAGCTCCAAGAGATTGGTGCTTTTCCAAGAAAAAACACATACCCAGCCATACTCTTTCTATCATCCCTATCACCACTCCAATCAGCGTCAGTAAATCCAACCAGTCTGTTTTCTCCTTTGGCAAGCATGATTCCCAGTTTCAATGTTCCATGAAGGTACCTTAAAATGCGCTTTACAGCAAGTAGATGAGATGCTTTTGGTTCCTGTATATACCTGCTAACCAAGTCAACACTCAAACTAAGATCTAGTCTTGTGTTGCAAAGGTATCTCAGGCTGCCCACGATACTTCTATACTGCACTGGATCCATGTTTTCTTCGTCAGGACTTAGCTCAAGCTTCAATCCAGACTCTGTAGGGGTGCTTGCAGAGTTACTCTAATGCATCCCAAATCTTTTTACTAAGTCCCTCGCATACTTCGTCTGATGTAGCAACATCCCAGTGGGTGTTCTCTTGAACTCTATGCCAAGGAAGTAACTCAAGTTTCCCAGATCAGTCATTTCAAATTCTGAAAGGAGATCACGCTTGCACTCACAGATAAGCTTCTCAGTGCTTCCAGTGACTAGGAGATCGTCAACATATAGGCAAATGATGACTTTCTCATTGCTGTGCTGCTGCATTTTCACGTAAACATCGTGCTCTGATTTACATTTGATGAACCCAATCTGCTCAAGAAATGTGTCAATGCGTTTATTCCACGCTCTTGGTGCCTGCTTAAGCCCATATAGAGCCTTCTTCAATTTATAAACTTTGTTTTTCTTCTCCTGATGTTCAAAGCCACTGGGTTGCTGCACATAAACCTCCTCCTCCAGTGGACCATTGAGAAAGGCAGATTTAACATCTAACTGATGTAATGACCAGTTAGAGTTTATGAAAAAAGCAACCACTAATCTAATCGTCTCCAATCGAGCAACAGGTGCATAAACCTCACTGTAGTCTATCCCTGCTCTCTGCAAGAATCCTTTGGCGACGAGTCTCGCTTTATAGCGCAAAATCTCTCCTTTAGGATTCATCTTCACCTTATAGACCCACTTGAGCGCAATGGGCTTCTTACCAGGTGGGAGTGGGACAAGTTCCCAAGTCTGGTTCTTCCCGATGGAGTTAATCTCTTCCTCCATTGCACTCAGCCAGTGAGGATTCTTCACTGCTTCTTCAAATTCTACAGGTTCTGCCTCTGCAATCAACGCAAAATGAATCAAGCTCCCATTCGTTGTTACTGCTGAATCATCAAAGATTTCGTAATCTCTCAGACGTAAAGGAAGATGTGATGTGCGCTGTGATCTTCTTGTAGCTGACGCTTCACCTCGGTTCTGATCTTCTGAGTCAGTTTCTTCATCGAAAGTCACTTTTGTAGTGTTTTCTTCTTTCTCAACACGATCCCATGATCAACTGCTTGCCTCATTGAACGTAACATCACGACTGATTGAAACCTATTTTGTGGCAGGATCAAACAACTTGTATCCCCTTATTACATGATAATCAATGAACACATGCGGTGTGCCTTTGTCATCGAGCTTTCTCCTTAGTGGGTCTGGCACATGCTTATAGCACATGGATCCAAAAATTTTGAAGTGTGACACACTTGGTTTGACACCTGTCCAGGCTTCTTCTGGTGTCACCTCTAGACGTTTTGTTGTGTGCAGCAGTAACGACTGCCTCTCCCCAGAACTGATTTGGCACATTCTTTCCCTTCAACATGCACCGTATCATGTTTAGCAATGTCCTATTCATACGTTCAGCAGTTCCATTATGTTGGGGGTATAAGGTGGAGTCTTCTCATGAATTATTCCCTCCTTCTCACAAAATGAGCTGAAGTTCATTGATGAATACTCACCACCTCCATCACTACACAAGACCTTCAACTTCTCCCCACTCTGCCTCTCGACCATCCTGACAAACTTTTCAAACACTTCTTGAACTTTTTCGTGCAAGCAAATACACCCACAATTTTCGTGTGTATTCATCGATGAAGGTGAGTATGTATTTGTTCCCTCCTGGAGTTATGACCTGCATAGGACCACAAACATCAGTGTACACAACTCCTAGCTTTTTGGTTGCTCTTCCACCAACAAATTTTTTGAAGCGCAACCTAGTTTGCTTGCACTGGATGCATTCTGAGCAAACTTCTTCTAGTATTTTGATTTGTGGTAACCCTGTAACAAGATTATCATTACTGAGTCTATACAAATCATGGAAATTGAGGTGCCCAAACCTGTTGTGCCATTGCCATTCTCCATCATCAACTACGGAAGCAAAACACTCATGTCTACGTGTGTTCATCCCCACTCTAAACGTTCTATTATCTGAGAGTTTGGCATGAATCACCAACCTTTTATCTTGATCAAGTATGCTAAGCCCATTCTCCTTCAATTCCATAAAGAACCCTTTCTGTAGAAGCTGCCCGAGACTTAGCAAATTGGTTTTTAATCCGGGTACGTAGAGAACATCATCTATGATGATTTCTCTATTCTCATGATCAATTAACACCACACGACCTCTCCCTTCTGCTTGCAGACTCCGATTATCTGCGAACCTGATCTTCCCGTGTGAAACATCACTTAACTTGATGAACCAATCCCGACGTCCAGTCATGTGGGTAGAACAACCAGAATCAAGATACCATGAAGATGATTCCTCTGAACTTTCTTTGCTGGTCTTTGCCATGAGCATTACTATATCTGAATCTGATGAAGCATCATCTTTAACTAGGTTAGCTTGATTCTTGGACATCGCCTTGGACCCTTCACCCTTCCAACACTCACGAGCAAAGTGCCCAAGCTTTTGACAATCATAGCACTTCACCTTTTTCTTGTCAAATTTCCAGCCTTTCTCTCCACTGTTCTTGGTGCCTTAACTCTTACTTTTCTCTAAATCACCTGCAACATCATCGTGGTTGGCACCCTTTGACTGTTTCGTACTCTTCTTGGTTCCTTTTGATTTCATTTTGTAACTCGATCTCGCTTGCAAGGCCTGTTCTAGCATTTGTTTTCTCTCACTGAGTCTGTATTCATGGGCCTCCAAGGAATGTTGCAGCTCCTGAATCCCAAGATGCTCCAAGTCTTTCGTTTCTTCAATCGTAATTACAAGATGATCAAAACTCGGTGGAAGAGATCTTAATACCTTGTTTACAATATGCTGCTCTGAAACTGTGTCACTGCATGCTCGGATTGCGTTGACCAGCTCCTGCACCTTATTCAGATACTCTGTTACAGTCTCAGTTTCTTCCATCATGAGGAACTCGAACTTCCTCCTTAATGCTTGCAACTTAACCTTCTTGTGTTTATCTCCAACACCATAGGTCTTGTCAAGTATCTCCCACGCCTTCTTTGCGGTTTCAGCCATCGAAATTTGATTAAAAATCATGGAGCTAACACACTGATATATTAAGAACCTAACCTTGCTATCCATCTTCTGTTGAAACTTAAAAATTCGTTTCTCTTCTTCCGTAGCTTTGCTCCCAATTTCTCCGACACCATTCTCTATTATATCAGCAACTTCTTGAAAGCCGAATATCGCTTTCATCTTAATCTTTCAATCTCCAAAAGATTTGTCATCGAACACCGGCAACCCTCCCTGTATCAATCCTCCAAGACCTCCTATCATGATAAATCTTGCAGACTTCTTGACCACACTTCAAACGTTTTTTTTAACAGGTTTCTTGATCTGCGACTTCTTGATCTTCGAAGACCCACGTGAAAGAAACCTCCAAGATTTTCTTGACTTTACACTTTCAAGGTCATAGAACGAACCCAACTCTTGATACCATGTAACGTACTAAAGAAAATAGAATGAACGTAAAGGGTACAGGAAAAAGGAAGTAACTGAATAGTACGTGCATACATCCATGCATGCAGCTGAAGTATTATTTATATCAGAAAAACATATAACAGAAAACTGAACTTATAACAGAAGTTTTTTTAGTTTGGCTTATTCAACATATAATACCCTCTCCCATTCTCCTTGCCTCTAACCAAGTTTAGTACTATTAAGGTATTGGATTTCTCCCAATAAACCCTAGACTCTAACAAAAAAATATGTATAAAGAAAATAAAACATAAAGGAGAACATTTAAGTATGAGAAAACCCCAAAATAGTAAATTATAAAAAAAATTGATAACTTTTTTTACAAAAACATATGACAAATTTCTAAGAAAAATTCTCATACATGACTTTCGTGAAAAATGAGTAAAATAAAAAAAAAATAACAGAAAAAAATCACATTTTAAGTTTAATTAGAGTCTAACTGAATTTAATAAAATAATATTTTATAGTATAATAAGTGTGTAATAAGTTAATTAGTAATAGTATTTTAAAAAATAAAAAAAATAAAAATTACTATTATCGTCAACATAAATTACGATGAAATTATAAATATAAATTATATTAAATAGTGTAGATATTGATGAAATTATAAATATAAACTATATTAAATAGTGTAGATATTGATTATTGATTTTCAAAGGTTAAATAATATATTATTAATAATTAATAAATGAATATTAAAAAAATTAAAGGTGAGAGATTAAATTTATAAATATATATAAAAAGATATATTTAATGATTATTAAATTTGAGAGAACAAAATCATAAATAAATATAAGTTAAAAAAAATCATTACTCTTCAACTCCCATAATGGTATATCACTTTATAAAATAAATAATATTTAAAATAAGATAAAAACATAATAAATTATAACTATCATTTAAAGATGATATTAAAAAAGAAACTCAAATACGTTATATTTTTTATAAAAAAAATTGATCTTAATTTTGTTTTTTTATCAAAACCATTCAATCCAAAAATTCAATCATTAATACTTTTAATTTTATCATGATTTAATTAAAATTTGATTATTTAAAAATAACATCAATTTTTATATGGTTCTAAATTATACTTATTACAATACAAATATTTTATTTTCCCAATGAAAAATATAAAAAATTATATATATATATATATATATATATATATATATTATCAATTTTAAATATTTATAATTTAAATATATATATATATATATATATATATTCACTTATGCTATTTTAGTAGAATATAATAAATATGAAAATACTTATAAAAATTAAATAAATAATTTAATATATTTTATAATTTTTATAATGTGATATTATTTTATTAACTAAAATATTTTAAAAAATCTATAATTTTTAAAATATATATTATTGGAAAAAAATCTTTAAAAGTGTTAATTTAAAAAAAATATTTCATTCATAAATAATCAATTAGTAGTTATATATGTATTTTTAATTGTATAAATAATTAATTTGAATTAATTAATTAATTAATTAAAAAAACTTTTTTATTATTTTATGTGATTTTTAGTCAAACAAATAAGTATACTTTTTTTTATACTTTCTTGTTTTATTACCGAACATATCCTAAAGAAATTTATCTTAAAATAAACTCAAACTATAAAAAAAAAAAAAAGTGGATATATCATATATAAATGTAACATGAACTCATAATCCCTTTGCTAAAGAAATTAAAAACCAATGGTAATCGATTTTCTAAATCAAATACACAATTAACTAATCTATTGAAAAATACAAAACAAAAATAGTGACAAAAAATTTACACAAATATAATGACATAAATTTTTTGAGAAAACTTACTCACTTATGACCAAGCTTAATCCTATTAAAGTACCAGATTTTTTACAATAAACCTTGATTAGGTATAACATAATTAGATGTAAAAAATGTTTTATTTCATTCACATCTCAAGAATATGTATACCACTTTATTGTATCAACTGTATGAAAATTCAACTTATAAGTCCTTCAAACTCCCATAAAAGACAACGTAAAGAAAAAAATAAAATAAAATAGAGGAGAATTTTCAATTACAGAAAACCCCAAATTCGTAATAGGAGGTTACAAAGTAAACTTGGAAAAGAAAATGAGGTATTCTCTTGTATAGAGAAGTAAAGATGAAGAAAAACTAGTTCTGTGTGGTAGTTTGATTTTTAATGTGGACATAGAAAAAAAATCGACCGGACATGAAGTTCTTTTCAAAGATTAGTATACATAAATATATTGAAAACTGATTTGCTTTTTCAATTTTTTTTTTTCAAAAAAAGTTATTTTCCATAAAACAAATTCACTAACATCATGTGTCAAGAAATTATAAAAACTTATCGAGTCTTTTTACTGACCTAAAGAATTTCTAAATATATGTAGATTTCCTCCTTACCATTTCTTTCTTTTGAAACATTGAAATGCTTGACTACAAGTTCAGTTTCTATAACCATTTTCTTAGCACAACTTTTGTCACCATATATTCAAGTGACATGTTAGGATAATATCTTTTACAAAAGAGACGGACGACCTCAATCTTTCAATTGAAACAGAAGACTTCAATTTTGAAAAAAAAAAAAAAAAAAAAGCTTAAAACTAACATCACCATTCTCTCCATTTTCTCACTTTTCCATTCCCATCTCTTTACTTTTCAAATAACATACACCCCAAAGGGAGATGAAAAAATTTATGGTAGGAAACCTGCATAACTTTAATGTTCAAACCGATGCATTACACTTTGGCCTTTATTCCCCAACATATAATGTTGGAACAAGTAACAAGGTCAAAATCACAAATAACCAACAGTTAGTCATCCTTGTGACTACAAGATCAGCACGAAGCCTAGTACCTTAATGATAATGTATAAAACAGGATTTCAATTGGTTAATAGTTGTCTACAATCCAGTGTTCTCCAAGGAATCCATTACATTGGCCACAATAAAACAGAAATAAAAAGTGAGCTAACAACGGTGGCACTGTACAATGATATCTTCTTCTCTTTACCATGTAAACACGTCACAATGTCAATAATGTGCACTCACACAAACTCATTAGCAACAGGTATACACAATGTTTAATCTGGTCACTATCTACGAGGTAACCCAGTCTATCAGCTAACATTTACCTAAAAAGCTACACATAATTCTTGAAAATATACTCGGATGTAAACGAAATATTTGCCCGATTATGTCCCACTCTGAACATCAGCACGATAAAAATGCAGCAAATTTATGGGTTCCACTTTTTCCTGATACCAAAGCAATCACAATAAATTTATTTCAAGATGATATACAATTGTGCATCTAATATTTAATTAAATAAATGCATAAATGTTTAAGACCTCAAATATCTCTTCTGATTGTGAAGGGAAGTGAAACCCAGTTGAACAATTCTGCAAAACTTCGGGGCTCTTGATCCATTCTCTGCGTGCATCACATGCCTTTATTTTGAATTTGAACATCTGCAAGAAGATTAGGCAATATTCAATACATTCCAAATAAACTTGTATTCTGAACACAGGACAAGTGTTTACCAAAAGTAGAAATAATTGTGCTCAAAGAAAACCAAAAGAAAAAAGAGATTTAATATATTTGATAAGGTGGAGGTTTAAGCAAGAATTATCAATATAATAAACAAACCTGAGACAGAGAAAATTCTGGCTGTTCAACCCCATCTCCATCAATGACCATTCCAGTACCTTGGCACTCTGGGCAGAATACAGTCCTTATATGTTTCCCCACATCTTTTTCTTTTCCAATTTTCTCACCATCTTCCGCAATCTTTCTCTTCACTATTCGTCTAACATTTGGACGGACTAAATGATTTGTGATTATCTCAAATTCACACAAGATTATCCAATGTATAAGGCAGGATGTATGAAAGACATGAAATGCCTGTAAATAAATGCCAACTTAAATCAATCACGTATAATATAAAAATTGGAACATGAATACAACTCTTTTCCTCAAGTTTAGAATATGTATGTGACCTATGAATATATTGATGTTTCAATATCTCAAGCTTTTATGCATGCCTCATTATTAACAAACATACCAATAGAGCAAAACAATATCAGAATTCAGAACATTAATAAAATGTGTTTACCCCAGTTTTATTCCGACTGCTGCACGCTACTCTTCTAGTCTTCAAATTCAAAAGTGCAGCTACATCTTTTCCAGGAAGCATTTTTTGTTGACAGATGTTACACACTTTCTCTGCTGCCAGCCGCTGCTTCCGTCTCAATTCTTTCCTCACTGCCTTGCTTGAAATGAACCTTGTGCAAAGAAGATGATTGTTGAATTGATCTAGTGTCAATCGTGAGCTGGAATTGTTAGAATCGGACGACTCTTCTGCAGACGAATCATACTGATTGTTTAAAGAATCGCTAATATCATCAGAGTCAGACAATGATAGCTTCCCCTTTCTGCCACCAGAAGCAGACGGAAGTAATGACTTGACATCATCAAGCAAACCGGACCGGCCCAGATCATAATTATAGGCAAAAATTACGATTGCAAAATCATGCTCTAGAACCTCAATACAATTTTGTTGATCATTACTTTCTTTTCCTAACCATTCACACCATATTCTTTTAATTCCATTCAACGCGCTGCACTTCTCAAGAAATCTTGCAGCAATCTTCCCCAACCCCACTTCGCTAACTTTTACATCAAATATTTCATCTCCGATCAGCATATGAGGAATCACTAGTCCACACTCATCATCTTGCGTACCATCAATCGACAATGGTTCGGCATTTGACTGAACCCCTTCATCAAACTTCACAATAGCAAGACTATTGTCATTGTTTTTAAATTTCAACAACCTGTTTTGGTAACTATGTGCAACTTCCAAGTCTATATCACTTTCAGTAGAAGTATCAAAGAAAACAAGACCATCGTTAAAAGGCCATGGTTTCGGTCCAAGCAGGGTCACCTTAGCAGCAGACAATCTCTCCTTATGAAGATTACCTTTCAAGTGATCAAACAGAACATCATCACTATAACACGGTGCAAGACACAAAGTACAGAAATAAATGGATTTCTTCCCATTCTCACGCAACTCCACATATGGATGCCCTTGAGATCGAACAATTTTCAGTATCTTTCTCGCCGCTTGTTCCTTCGGATTGGAAACATCAGACTTCGGAGGACCCAATTCCAACTTCCCAGCCATTCAATTTTTCTCAACCAGTCAAACGCAAAACTCAACACTATAATCTCCAATACACAATTATAATACAAACAAAACAAGAATCACTCCAAAATTCTAAAACCACGAAACTCCCAACCTTATTCCAGATCTCAAGGTTTCAAAGACACCACAGACTCCTCTCCAAACCCTAAAATAGCATAACAGATAATTTTCCGATACTGACTGACGAAAAATTCTCCTATATCCAAAGTTCGCACAGAGATAACTAACCACCCGAAGTCACTAAGAACAAATGATTTCACGAATGGTAAACAAAGCACGAGTCAGCGACATCCTACCGTTGGAATTTCAAGTTTAAACAGCGAAAAACGAAACGCGATGATAAAATTTTGAGAGCGGAGAAAGGACCTTAAAACGACGCCATAAAAGGAGATATTCGAGGCGCAATCGGTCTAGAACTGTTCGGTAATCGTGGAGATCGTCTGCGTCGAAGGAAAGCATCGAGAACCATGGAAAGAATCTCGTAGGAGCACGAATCCTCCATTGACATCTCCATCTATCGCCGAGCACGAAGAATTGGAAGGTGCTTGGAGAGAGACTGAAAAACTAAGAGAAAAAAGTAAGAGAAAGAGAGGGAAAAAGAAGAGGGAAGGAGAAAGATGAAAAGCGTGAAACAAACTGAAACACGAAACTAAAATTAACAGAAATTTGAGAGTCTCTTTAATTTTTGCAGAAGGTGATCAAGTAATTTTAATTAATTAAATTATTATTATTGCGACAACGTTCTCCCTCCACAGTGTGGAGAATGGGTGTGAAATTCCTTGCTCACCCTTGATTATTATGGTTGACGGTAATGATCGAGTAGAGTTAAAGCTAATTGGATAAGGTGTAAGCCAGAGAGCGAAAATGTGTTGGGGTAGATTCGAATTTTGAACACAGATTCCTTGCTTCTTCTTTTCTTTTCTTTAAGTATTAATTTAATTATTTTAATGATGATTTGGTTCAATATTATCAACCATTAATAACGATGCTTTACCCAAAATTAATCATTAATGTAGCTCATTTAAATAAAATGAATCCTGAGAGTACAGATTTTTCAGGGCATGCAATTATGATGCTTTTAATTTATTTTTTTTAAATAGGAATCAAAACTTCCCTTTTCTGTAAAAACTTAAATTCCTAATGAATAGGCATTTCAAGACTCATAGAAATTTTTGTTGCTGCCCAGGATCGAACTGGGGACCTTTAGTGTGTAAGGCTAACGTGATAACCACTACACCACAGCAACTTGATGACTTGAATTATAATTCTACGTATTAGTTTCTATATACAACTACTAGAAGCAGGCCCATCAATTCTGCGGCCCAAATTAGTTCAGAGTTTACCAAATGGGTCGAGTTTTGCTTTTGCTTCTAATTAATTCCTAAAGTTAGGGATGAAAGAAAAAAAGTAAATGACTTGTTATTGTATGAGAATTCATAAAAACGAGTTCTTAATTAATATCAAATCCAAATGAAAGAAATAAAGTAAATCAAGATTCCTGTTTATTTTTTTTTATTAGAGAAAAACCAGATAATATTTTTAAATCTTACGTGACGTTAAGATCATTAAAATATATGAATAATTCAAAATAGATTACACCCTTGATTTAGAAGAAAAAATAAATTTTTTTGAAAATGGTATAATACCTACCTGAAAAATATTAAATAGTAAATATAAATCTAATTCATCTTATAATACCAACAATAGGAGTAATTCAATAATCGATAATATGTTTAAATTTGTTAAAATAGATGGTTGTTGATGACCAAATCCATGGACAGACCCATGAGCATCTTATCATGTGGTTTGAAGTTTGAAGAACCAGTAAAGTCTGTTCCGTCATCTTTCACACTCTCCTATACGCTATCAAAATTTATATATATTATTTTTTCTTAATTATTAAAATATATTTTAAAAACAAAAATAAAAAACCATGATACTCTTATCCGTAGAGGGAATAATATGCGTGTTTTCTTTATACTAAAAATATGAGCTGAGCCATGTGCTGATTTCCGAGTATTCATATCCAAATCTTTTAACTATGGCTTAATCATACTTAATTTATTAAACGTGGGAACAACTACCTTTTTATACTTGTATTAAGATAATCGTTTCGTTGATAAAAGAAACGTTAGGTTCCTCCTTCCAAAATTGCTAGTCTCTAATCTGCTTTCAATTTTCTGCTCTGGGAGACATGGATCCACCACATAAGATAGACTCCACACACGTTTTATCTGAAAATTCCAAGCAATTCTATCTAACTTTTCTCATACCATAAATATCGAGAAATTTTGTTCAAAAGACGGGACCATTTTTTTTCAAAAACAACAGAAGAAAAATCGCAAACTTAATTGTTTGTTTGACTTTTTTTTTTAATTTATTATCATTGTCTTTTATACTTGAATTCATTCAACAAATCCAGTGAAAAAATACATTAAATTATATAATCTTAATATATAATTAAATCAAAATACATCAAGTTTAGATAATCAGCTCACAGGTTTGCACCAACTGCAACTAGGTGAGAACAATATTCTCTAGTGCAAGTCGTTCTCCGGTAACGGCAACTGGGTCCTTAAATGACGTCGTTTTCTGAAAACGCTTCAATCTCGCTTTCACCTTCATTTGATCGTTAAACAAAAAAACGAGTTTAACGGTAGCAAAAATAATTAATAACCCCGTGATCAAATGGACCAATATACCCACTTGCTTCGCCTTTAGGGCACGCACATGCGGAGTTAACGCCTCAACCGCCGGTGGGACCCAATTCAACACAGTGGCACCTTTCGTAAATACACACCAAACAAATGGATAATAAGGTCACTACATTATTCCGTTGAGTAGACCCCACCGCGTTACAGTATAAAAAACCCGAAAGCCATGTAACGGTCTCATACAACGAAAACACAAACAAAAAAAAAACCTCCGCCGCCATCATTCAATAACTGTCGGCAATCCCACGGTTTCTCTAACTGTTTTCTCGGGCTACGAGATCGCCGGAGCCGACATTCACGGCGCCGCGTTACCCCATTTTTTCACCCTCACTCTCTCCAAATGCAGCGCTACCGTGTCTCCGCCGTGTTTTTTCTAAGCTTGTGCTTTAGCATGGCGCTAGTATACGCGCAAGGGCAGACTCCTGACAGTGTACTGGACCAACATTGGTACCCGGGAACCGCCACGTGGTACGGCGAACCCGAAGGAGACGGTAGCACCGGTAAGGACTAAAACTGACTCGCGAGTTGACTCAATAATGCAGAGTGAAACATCAACCAGACCAGTTAACTATATATAAGTATAACTTCATAAATTAACTATGTTATGAGTTTGATAATTAGCATCATTATGCTACTTTCTGGTACATTTTATTGTAACTAAAATTTGTTAAGACGAGTTTTGTTGTGTGATTGTGAATGAGGAACTGAATTTGATGAATTGGATCAGGAGGGGCATGTGGGTATGGTACATTGGTGGACGTGAGGCCGTTGAAGGCAAGGGTGGGTGCAGTGGGGTCAGTGTTGTTTAAGAAGGGAGAAGGGTGCGGGGCTTGTTTTAAGGTGAAGTGTTTGGACCATAGCATATGTTCGAAGCGGGCAGTGACGGTTATAGTGACGGATGAGTGCCCAGGCTGCCCTTCTGACCGAACGCACTTCGACCTCAGTGGCTCTGCCTTTGGCCGCATGGCGGTTACCGGTGAAAACGGTCAGCTCCGAAACAGAGGGGAAATCCCAGTCATTTACAGAAGGTATGGATCACATCACATGTAAATTCACAATTACTCGTATTACTCTGATGTTTTTTCTTAACCATGTTAGAATACTATAATAGATAGAGCCGTTGGGTGATCATTGGTTGTGGTGAAACTGGAGTGTGAAGAAGAATTTCATCCAAATATCATGAGTTTTAGTGGATTTGTGCAGTAGAATGTTCAACAGAAGACAAAAAGATAAAACCATTGTACTATTGAGAAATGACTGCCTCTTTTTGTCCTTTGGTTCTACCATGTGCTTTTTAGTTTTGACAGTGACATATTTTAACATGAGTTAAGTAAGTTGAATGGTATAGTTAGAATAAATTCGTGGAAGGAAGTGTGTTGGAGGGGGTCGAAAAACATGATTTAAACGAATAAATGTATAAAAATGGTTTACAAGATTTATAGTAGTATTGGAGATGATTTTTAAAGATTTTGGCTTTATTTTATGAGTTTGTGTAGGTCTACTCAATTTTTTTTTACCTTTTCTTCTTTTCTTTTATGATATTTTGTAGGATAAATTGGTGGATCTTTTCATTGATGTTTTCAAGCTAACATTTAAATTAATATATATATATATATATATATATATATATATATATATTATTAATTAATGCATTTGACTCCTCCAAAAGTGGTAAATGGAGAAACTAATAATTTGATATTATATTTTATCGTGTGCCATCATGTTTGCAACTCATGATTTATATAATTATCCAACAAAACATTTTTCAATTGAGAATTTTTCTTAGGAAGAATTGCAGACTTTTTGGTATTTGCTGGTGGAGCAATGACTATTGACTTGCTACTTTTCTTTCTTTTTCTCCTGGTGGATTGAAAGGAAGGACGTAGAAGATGGGTTGAAAAAGCATGTTAAAGCTACCTTTTGTTATGTGGATTAAAAAGGAAAGAAAAACTTATACTGATGATGACCTTTGTCCTGATCTGTTATTGTATTTTTGGCAGAACACCATGCAAGTATGCTGGCAAAAACATTGCCTTCCATGTCAACGAAGGTTCCACACCTTTCTGGCTATCACTTCTGGTAGAGTTTGAAGATGGAGACGGGGACATCGGTTCCATGTATATACAAGAAGTAGGCATCTTTCATTTTTCTTTACCACACTCCTTAAAACAAACATTTATGGATTATATCTAGCTAGAAAATTATATACTAGAATAGCAAAACAAAGAAAGTTAACAGAACCCCAAAAGAGTGAGAGAAAAGAAACCTTTCTGGTTTCAAGAAGATCATATGCAACCACTGGTAGTAGTAAATAAGTGTCTAATTAAAGAGCAACAGATAGTAAACCAGTACTAACACATTGCATAGGACATGACATGGTGGACAATTCCAATTCCAAATGTTGTGGATGTCTTTTTAGATCACGTGGTGGTGCTATGCAGTTCCACCTTTTTTGTACTTTAGATTGGAATCATTGGATGATCTGCTAAAGGTTGTAATCCATTTCTATCCTATTAAAAATACTATCCAGAGTGTTATCCTCACATAATGTGGCCATTGGTACACAATGTTCCTCTTGTGGTGCCCTTTTCCAGTATCTTTTGAACTGGAAGCATGTGACATGGGACCTCTCAACAAAGTTCCTTTCCCCATTTTTCTCCCCCACAATAAATAATATCTGCTGGGTAGGTCACAGGTGCATGTGTCAGATCAACCTCAACTGGGGTTTAATTAAGATGCATATTTTCTTATAGTACTTTTGCAACATGTAAAATTCTATTGTTTTATTTATTTATTTATTATATCCCCTCTGTTACATTTCTCTTTTTGTGTTGTAGCTTTCAAACATAGACACAATTGCTTATATATTGTGATTGGAAATTGGTGTTGGCAGACAGGGTCAAGTGAGTGGGTGCAGATGAATCATGTATGGGGTGCAAATTGGTGCATCGTTAGAGGGCCTTTAAGAGGACCTTTCTCTGTTAAACTGAGCACATCCACAGGAAAAAGCCTCACTGCCAAAGATGTTATTCCAAGCAATTGGACTCCAAAAGCCACTTATACTTCTCGCTTGAATTTCCTTTCTTAGCACAAGGTGTCTGCAACTGAGCTAGAACAACCATTTCCAAGTCAAAGGGAGTAGCAATTAATAAAGCACGAAAGTTTCTTTGTGTATTTTAGTAAGAAAAGTAGAAATTGAGTGCGGAAGGTTATCCAAATTGTCTTTCCTTTCCTTAATTTTATGTTTTTGCTTTTGTATACCTGTAATTTTGTCATTTTTTGTGGTGTGCAACTGTTTGTACTCTGTATTTGTAAGCAGAGTCATGGTAGCCCTCTCCAAATAGGAGGGAGAGCGTCTAGTGTTAATCTAGTATAGTAGATCAGAATGTGTGTACTGAGTCCAATCGACTTTAAATGATGAATATATTAATTTTAGAACCATTTAATATTGTTCACAATATTTTACTTGTTAATATTGGGATGAACCTCACATTGTGCTCCTTCCCATTTACTAAATTCTTTATATTGTTTTGAATTGTCTAAATTAGATTCATAAAATTACCCTTACAGGTATAGAATGAGTGTGTATGTATATAGGATCGCAAGATCAGATATGTTTTTTTTTTTTTTTTTCAATCACATCTTTAACAGTAAAAAAATGATGATGTAGGATGGATTAATCCCTCGTCGTCAAGAGGGGTTGTAAATTATAGTTTGTGGGTGGATGGATTAATCCCTCGTCGTCAAGAGGGGTTGTAAATTATAGTTTGTAGGTGGTTGATAGTGTTAGACAAATGACATTTAGAGGAGAAGGTGAATAGATGCACAAATTAAAATAGATGTCAAATTAAAAATTTATTTGTGAGTCAATAATTTGTTAAAGCGGAAGCAATAATATAATCAGAAAAAGAGAGAGATAAGGGAAAGAGAAGAATACACAGGAATTTATACTGGTTCGGGTATAGTCAATCCTACATCTAGTTCCCAGTCAACTCTTAACACAAGAGTGACTCCCCATTCACTATCTTTCAAATTCAGTTTACAAATTACAATCAACTCAGCAGAAGAACCAGTAAAAAGTAAACTAATTAAAAAGACAATCACCTCCTTAATCTCCGTCTGGATATATTAATAACAAGACTCCCCTAACTCACATGAGTAAATACTTCTCTTAACTCCCCTTGTTTAATTTAGATAGGAAAGAATTTCACACAAATTTTAATCTATCAAAAAATCTCCCCCTGTTTCATTGATAATCATAAAAAATATTATAAGAAAAAATATTTCCCTGTTTCACACAGATTAATATCATCAAAATATCTCTCTATTTCATTGATAATTAAAAAAATATTATAAGAAAAAAATCTCCCCATGTTTCAGACAGATTAATATCATCAAAATATTTTCATGTTTCATTGATAATTATGAAAAATATTATAAGAGAAAAAAAATCTCCCCCTGTTTCACACAGATTAATATCATCAAAATATTTTCTTGTTTCATTGATAATTATGAAAAATATTGCAATAGAAACTGAGAACAAATTTGTACCTATTAGTATATAAATCAAGGTAGAGAAGATAATGCATTAAAAAGTGTCATAGAGAAGAATATCATATTAAGGAAACAATATCTAGGATACCCAAGACAAATGAAGAGAGAGAAATATAGGGGAATAAAATGATTATAGAGATAATGAAATTAAATGCAGTAGTTTTCCTCCATTGCAGTTTTCTTATTTAGGCAGCTTTCAAATTCAAATGCACTCATATTCCAAATTTCAAATTCAAATTGCAACAAATTTCAAATTTCAAATTCAAATTCCAACCAATTCCAAAATTCAAATTTCAAATTCCAATTCAAATTCAATTTCAAAAATCTCAAACTGCAAAAATTTCAAATTTCAAAATCTCAAACTACAAAATTTGAAATTTCAAAAATCTCAAATTGCAAAATTTCAAATTTCCAAAATCTCATATTGCAAAAAAATCTCAAACTGCAAAATTTCAAAAATCCCATACAACAAATTTTTTAAAAAAATCTCAAACTCGCAAAATTTAAAATTTCAAGAATCTCAAATAACAAGATTTCAAACTTTATAATTTCAAAATTTCATAAATTCAAATTTTCAAAATTCAAACTTTCAAATTTCAAAGTTGGTCAACATAATTGATTATGACAACAAGAAAAAAAATTTCAATTCTGATAATCAATTAGATGCTCAAATTATCATCTAGACATGCATAAATGTTTTGTTCCTTCAGGCACCCATTCATATTTGCCATTAGATATGCCAAAATGTTTTTATAACATCTATTTGATGTATGACCTAATTTCATGCAATAAAAACATGTTGGTTTTCTTTGAAAAAGTCTAAATGCGTTTCTTAAAGTTTTTGAAACTGGTTTTACATTTGTTTTTCTTGACTCTTTCACAAAAATAGTTTTATGAGGTTCTAGACTTTCTTTGGGTTTGTAACCAAGTCCAGCTTTGCTAAAATTTCCTCTTTGATAACCTAATATCGAATCAAGATTTTCGAAGATTTTGAAAAATTGCTTATTATTTTCTCTAACTTGAAAATCTCATTTTCCAAAAGATTACAATCTTCACAAGGTTTAACAACTTCTTATAGACAAAATTTTAGATTTCTCAACATCTTTCTTTAAGCACTCATTTTCTTTTTCAAGAATACCAACAATATTTTCTAATGCATTAAACTTTTACCTAAGTGCATTGTATTTCTTAGATAACTTGGTAAAACCTTCATACATATCTTGATATTCTTTAAATAACTCATCATATTCATTTAAGGAATTTGTACTACTTACCTGTGATGAGGCTTCATCATCACTTTTTGTCATCAAGCAAAGATTTGCTTCTTCTTCTCCATCACTGCTTCCGGAAGAACTCTCTTGTGTTGTGGAAGAATCATTATCGTCCCAAGCAATATAAGTTTTGCGTTTGCTCTTATAGGTATCGTTCTTCTCTTTCTTCTTCTCTTTCACATCTTTCTTCTCTTTCTTAAGTTCCAAACATTCTGATTTGATATGACCAGGTTTTCCACATTCATAGCAATGAAATTTATTTGTTTTCTCCATTCTTTTATGTATCTTTTTCCTGTTCTTCATAAAGTGAGAAAATTGTTTAACAAAAAGAGACATCGGAATCCGAAAACTTACCTTCATTTTCGCTTTCGTCTTGTGAAGATTTTTCTAATTTTAGAGCTATCGTCTTGGTTTGATTCTGTTTACCGTTCTTTAACCTTTGTAGCTCCATCTCATGTTCTTGCAGCTTTCCAAATAGAGTAGCAATATTCATTTTTGGGAGATCCTTTGATTCTGTAATAGCAGTGACCTTTGGTTGTCAATTCCTGTCTAAGGATTTCAAGATCTTTGTGTTCAACTCCTCATTGTCAAAACTATTTCCTAATGCTTTCAAGTGATTTACTATATGTGTGAAGCGTGTTTAGAAATCCGTGATGCTTTCATTTTGCTGCATTTGAAATAATTCATACTCCTGAATGAGTGTGTTTTTACGTGCTCGCTTTACTTCATTTGTTCCTTCATGTGTTACTTCAAGAGTGTCTCATATTTCTTTTGCCGTCTTGCATCGTGACCCTGAAAAATTCATTACGAGTTAAGACAGAAATAATAGCATTTCGGGCTCTTACATCATAATGGACACGCTTATTTTCATCCGACGTCCATTGATCAAAAGTCTTTGGAACAGCTCCAGACTCCGTTGTTCTCATCGGAATGTAGGGACCATTGAGTACAGCATCTAAAACACCATAAGCTAGTGTTTATAAAAATATTTCCATTCTCGCCTTCCAAAACTGATAGTCTTCTCTTTCAAATAATGATGGTCTGTTTATTGAAGCTCCTTCCCTGTAAACCTGATTTTGCATAGACATTTTGACAGATCGTTTAGAAATATCTTATCTTGTTAAACAAATGACGTCTAGAGGGGGGTGAATAGATGCACAAATTAAAATAGATGTCAAATTAAAAATTTAGTTGTGAGTCAATAATTTGTTAAAGCGGAAACAATAATATAATCAGGAAAAGAGAAAGAGATAAGGGAAAGAGAATAACACACAGAGATTTATACTGGTTCGGGTATAGCCAACCCTACATCCAGTTCCCAGTCAACTCTTAACACAAGAGTGACTCCCAGTTCACTATCTTTCAACTTCGGTTTACAAATTACAATCAACTCAACGAGAAGAACCAAGTAAAAATTAAACTAATTAAAAAGACAATCACCTCCTTAGAAACCCACTAAGGATGAACACCTCCCTAGAATCCCACTAGGGATGAACACCTCCTCTGAACAAATCAAAGGATAAAAAGACCTCCTTAGAATCTCACTAAGGATGAACACCTCCCTAAAATCACACTAGGGATGAAAAACACCTCATTTTCAACCAATGCAAAAAGGATGAAGGTAATAAAAATAAGAACAGACACACCTGGGTAATGGAGACAACAAATTGTAGAAGCCTGTAGAATGCTAATCTCCAAGAACAAGTGTGATTAACAATGAAAGCACAAAAGACAGTATAGAAGAGGGTTTTCTCAAAAGGTGTAAAATATATCTGTTGCCTTGCTCAAAATTCTTTTCTCAAAACTGATTGAATGTAAATTGTATTTTCGAATTCTGTAATTGTGTATTTTTTTAATTTTTCATCAAAACTTAATTAAATAGAAAAATAGCATCGAGAAAATAGCCGTTGAACATTAATAATATCATAGAGAAAATCGGGATGTATTAAAAAACATTTATTCTTTAAAACAGATATATTTTTCAAATTTGAATTGTCATAATTGGTTATATTACCGAGTATAATTAATTATGATAGAGAAAATCATTTTTCCATTTACGGTGCATTATAATTAATTATGACGAGTGAAAAATATCATGTTATGAATTTTATCACACTTGTGCTTTGGAGGCTTATGTATAATATTACTTCATCAACTTGTACCTCCATATCCAGTATTCTAAGACTCTATCTAGTCTTCAGGAATCATCTTGGGCTTGCTTGAATCATCATCTTTATCAAAAACATATATTGGACATGTAGGGAAATGTTTCACATTGTCACCTACGTCATAAATTCAGACTTGTCCTTAAATTCATCTTGAATGGTATTGACTTAAATGTAGTTGACTTGAATCATCATCAAAATCATCTCTTGGGAATGCAGGAACATTTCCATCAATCTCACTCTCATTGTTTTCGGATAGATCGGTTTAATAATATTTTTTTATATAAAGGATTTTTATTTGTATATTTAAAAAAATGTATCTTTATATAATTTTTTTTTAATTTTTATTTATTAATTAATATTTTTATTAAATAAATTAAAAATTATTATATTTATGTATTAAAATAATTAATTATAATTAATAATTTAAATTTAATTGGTTAATATTGATAATTTAAATTACAATATTTAATATATTGATATATTTAATTATATAATAAAAATATAATTTTTTAATTATAATTTTTTTTATTTTAATTTTAATATATAAATATAAACAAGTCAACGGACTAATTATCCGTTTATTTTTTATCTACTAAATTAACAAACCAAACATGTCAAGATGTGACCAACTAAAACTATTAACTTATTCAATTCACTAAAATATTTTTTATTTTATATCATACTATCAATTCTTTAAAAATTTTAATTTTATATAAACATCACTTAACAATAATACATAAATATTATTATAAGAAAATCATTAATTACTGATGGATATATAACCGATCGAAAAATAAATAATTATTGACAAAAATTATCAAATGATTACCGACAAAAATTACACCGACAAAAATTATCAAGTGATTACCGATAAATATATTCGATCGATAAATTAATAATTAGTTATTGATGAATATATTTGTCGATAAATTTTAATAAATATATCAAAATATATAAATATATTTGTATTTATATATTTTATATCTATATATTTACACGGATATATATTTACTTGTATATAAATATAATTTATTTGTAAGTTATTATCTAAAAATCGTAATAGTTTACTGGTTGAACTATCAACCTCTAATATAATGGGTTCAAAATATAATAAAAAATAAAATATAATAAATAAATAATTTATTTACAGATAATTATCAATACATATATCTGTCGATAATATTTATTGAGGGATCTTCTTAGCTACTGGCAAATTTTTTCCGTTTAATAAAAAAATATTTGTGTAATTAATTTAATTTTTTAATAATTATAACAAATATTTATGTTTAATATAATTAAAATATTTTTATTTAATAAACTAATCACAATTATGTATAATTAAAGTTTTCAGGTTAATTATGTACATCATACTTGAATTCAGTTCATAAATATACATCACTATATGACGTATTTTTCTAAAGTGATAATTACAAATTTAATAGAATAATTACAAATGAAAATCAAAACATATATTAATAATAAATATTTATCATAATTATAATATAAAAAACCTATTTTACATTTGATTAAAATAATACAAATTCAATAAATTTTTGGAATCAACGTTATACAATGTTATAAACCTTAGAAATATTTATATATATTTTGTTTTCAAAATAATAACAATGTTCTATATAATAACTATTTAAATATTTTTATTTTTTATAAAATTAATTAATTTTAATATTAATCTTATAAATTTTATTTTAAAAATTAATTTGATCAAAATTTAAAAACATTTTAAATCTTTTATAAAAATTTAAGACTTCCTATAAATTATCATCTATCCATCTTCTTTTCTAATAATCTTTATAGCTTATTTCATCATAAATTACTTCCTTACTTCTCCTCTGTATTAAGTTAAATATATATTCAATTTATTGTAATTATTTAATCTTCCAACCCTACATTCATATGACACAGAAATTAAAGTATCACAGTTTTGTTGCTGTGACAGTGGTGTTGTTAGCCCCAACATTTATTCTTTTAATAATAATAAAAAATATAATGTTGAATAAGGGAAGAGAAAGGTATTATAGGAACATTTTTTTATATGCATTAAAGTAAATTGTGAATTTTAACTATATTTTATATATTAAATTAATATTTAATTATAATTGTTAAATTTATTTTTAATTTGTTAAAAGATAAAATTTATATAAATATCTATTAGAATAAAATTTATAAAAATTTAGTAACAACATGTTTTTATCTAAAGTGAAATAAAAATTTAAATATGTTCCAGACTATATTTTAAAAAAGAAAATTTATATATTTGAGAATATAGAAATATTTTGTTTTAATATTTAATAAGCTATAAAAACAAATTTAAGTAGAATGGAGGTATTCATTTTTATCTCTTAAATTTTTTACCATTAATAATTTTAATTATGTGATATATTGTTAAACTTTTGAGTTGATGGGTAATTGTTAATTGAATATTTCCTTTACTACAATGAAATTGACTGTAATTTTTAACAAATACTATTACTAACTATATTTTGAAGTTATTAATCTATATATAATTTATTTAAAACTTTTACTTTCATATAAATAATTATAATATGTTCTCAATTTTGTATTTTTTTTACAAATAATTTATATCTTATATTCTAACCATTCTATGTATTCATTATATATAATACATTTTTCATATTGTTTAATATTATTATATGCTATTTTTCATACTTTATTTTTTTATTATATGAGAATTAAAAAGTAATTGTTATAATTATTATTGTGCACTAACAAATGTTTTATATTTATCATAACGTATTTATTGAAAAAGAAAATACTGTTATTAGTTATCACATTAAATATATTTATTATATATAGTATATACTAATTTAAACAATAAATAATTCAAAATAATAAAAGAGAAAAAAATTCAGCGTTAATATATTTTATTTAAAATAATGATAATAATTTTTATTAGAATAAATATTGATAATACTTTAAATTTGAATACATATTTATAAACTCATTTGTTTGAAATACATCTTAATTTTTTATTTTGTTGTGATGTAATATTTTGTTTTGTTATTATAGTATTTTTATATCCAAATTTCATTAATAAAAATCATTATTTTTAACTAATGTTGATAAATATAATTTGGAGTGAGTAATTTTAAAAATAAAATAAACTTTATATATAATCATAAGAATTTATTTTATGTTATATTATATTATTAACTAAATAAAATACTATGATACATTTAAAATTAGCTGTTTTATTTATAACGTTTTTAATTTTAGAATATATCTAACTTTTTATAATGTTATTATGTTTTATATTTTTATTATAATATTTGTGTACCTAATTATTTTTATCCTTCTTTACTTTGACATATATATTATTATCCTAAAAAATATTATATATATATATATATATATATATATATATATATATATATATAATAAAATTAACGGTAGTAACTTTTGGTCAATGATTTTTATTTTCAAATTTGATTTAATATAAGTGTAGCAGTATTTAAAATTCAAATAAATAAATATATTAGTGTATACGCATCATATTTGTTTAATTTAATTTTAACTATTAATTAAAAATATAAAAAATAAAATATTATTAATCAATATTCAAATTAAAAAAAATATTATTAAATATTAAAATTACATATAACAAATTAATTTCATAATTTAATTCTTCATTCAATATAATTTTAAGAAGTATTTAATAATATAAATAAGTAATTAATCTTTACAGAAGTAAGAATTAAATAAAAAAATGTCTAAGTATAGTTGAAACTTTTATGTAATGCTTAAATTATAGTATTAATTAATTAAGTTAAGACTTTACATTTTTTTTCCATTTGGGCTATTAATCAAATTTAATTTAGGCGGCATATAACAAGGGCTTTTGTAAACCTAGACCCTAATAAGCCAGAAAATTTCATACCTTTAATACAAAGTATAAAGTTTGATGAGTTTTAATAAGGAGCTAGATATCATTTATAATAGAGGGAAAAAAAGATTACAGTGTTGGTTTACACAATTTTTCTTTATTACATTTTAGGACTTGTTATGTGTTCAACACATTATATGGTACTTATATGTAGTATTATCTATAATTATTATTGTAAATTCAATACTTAAATTATGTAACTAATTATGGTGGTTGGTGTAATTTTCTAAGAAAATGTATTGAAATATTAGAATTTACATTTTTATTTCAAGTTTTAATTGTTATTGTTGACTTGATGAAAAAGTGGTGGTTGTTGAGAACAATTATGACAAGATTAATATACATATAACAAAAAATTAGAATCAAAATTGACATTCTAATTTCAACCTTTATGATAATCTCTATCTTTTATAAATAATAAATAATAAAAATACAATCTTTTATATTTGCTTATGAATTATGAACTAATGATCAAAACAATTGAACCTATACGAATATTTAATCTCTATCTTGCAACAACTTTCACATTGGTTGAGCTATAAGGAACCTAGTAAATAACTAATCAAGCCATTTTTTCACTTTAGAACTTTATTTATATAATTCAAGGTTGATATGAATAAAACAAAGCCCTTTGAATTAACAAAAGTAAAGTTAAGTACTTGTTGTTGAGAAGATAATCATAAGAAATAAAAAGAAAACACTTGAAAAATATAATTTGATAAGAAGTTTCAATGTGAGATGACACCAAGAGATTTCCATTGAAAACCTGTAAGTGCAGGATAATAATTTGGATTAATGTTCTCTGTTGGCCATACTGCAAAGCCTAATGTATCTTCATTTGACCAACACTTATTCTCCATCAATATAGCAACAAAATTTCTCAAGATTAAAAAATGCAAAGTATATTAAAAAAGTTGCTAAATAAAAAAAATATTGTCTTCATCATTAAGCTGTCGTTGATTCAGATCTACCTACTTGCTCACCTTCAACTACACCAGGATCTTGTGGGTCACCATTAGCAGTAACATCTTTTGCAGGTGAAGTAGGTTTATTTCCTCTAACACCTTTATTATCCTTCCCCTCTTTACCTTTATCGTCCTTCCCCTCCTTTGCATCTTTCTTATCTTTGTCATCTTTTGCATCCTTTTCTCCTTTGGGTGGAGGAGGCATCATGTGAGAAGGAGGATTTTGTTTTAGCTTCAAAATCATTTGTCGCATTCTTGCAAGATCAGTAGGTTTTCCTGGCTTTGGACCCTGAATAACATGAACTGAAGGCTTATTATTCTCAGCTTCTTTCTTTCCTCTTCTCTTCTCAATATTAGGGACCTCTCGAGGAATGATATCAGCTATTGCTTTCCAGTAATGTTTGTGAGCTTCTTTGTGAAATTTTTCTTGGTTGGTCAAGTGTATCTGCACACACTCATTATCTTCATTTGCATACAAACAATGAAGTATGACAAAGCTAAATGGATCTTTGGTTCCCCAAAATTATACAGAACTGATAACCTAAGGAAACACTTATTTATTGCATGCAGATAAGGAATAAACTTTACTACCTCTTCAGTTCAGTTGATTACCTATACATATGTGAAAGTATGACAATGATCAATGAATTCATGGTTCACAGAAAGAATACAAGAATAGTAACATAGGAAATTACTCCAAGAATTAAATTATAGCATTGGAAGTGTATTTCTACCTTTTCTCTTTCCCTATTGTTCTTTTTGTTAGTCTCACAGTCGAGTTTTTTTTTCTCATAAAAAGATTCTTTAAACTCTTCAGCTTCCTTTATAATCTGATTTCTCATCTCCTTCTCTTTTTTCTCTTTTTCCTCAAGATGAATGGCATTTAAACTGCATTAGAAAAAGTCAAGAAAGTTATACTCCCAAATTCTAATTTACTAAAACAAAAACAACCTACATTTACACACATTCACAACAATAATACTTTTTAAACCACTACAAAATTGATTTCTGTTTATTTATCCAAAGGGGTTAATATAACAATTGAGATATATAAAGGCAACTTTCATTGCAGCAAAATATTACCAAATCTATGGAAGTTTCCTGTACTTTATAGAATCGTTAAATTGAACAATATATTGGAAGGAACACATCCTCATACACGTCTTGCTCACAATGAAAACAAACCATGAAATATAGAGAAATTGTAAACAGAGAAAAAGAATGTTGCATCTTGCACACATCCAATGTAGTATAATATAACTACAACTTCTGAAATGAAAAAAAAAAAAATGTAACGAAAAAAAATCTCACCGTCGCCATTCACGTCTAGCATTTCCTTCCTCTTGCATTTTAGATGGATCGGGGAGGAGTGGTCCATTAGAGGTGAAGGTTGTGTCATCAATAGGAGCAGATTCAAAGGGGGAAACATAGTCGGGGTTGGGGGTGGAAACTCCGAATCCATAAACAGAAGGAGATTGTGGGTTATCCATGAAATTATTATTGTTATTTGGATCTGCATTGATTTGAGAGTGTTGGTCATCGTAACCGTAATGTTGAGACTCGTATTCCATGCCCATGCCTGTGTAGTTGGTGTCATCTTCAAAGGGTCCTTTTGTTGGTGATTGATGTGATTGATCCTCAAAAGAGTCGAACGATGCCATCTCTGATGCTGGAAACCTCTCCAACGTTGCCTTCTGGTCACAAATCACTATCAACCTCAGATAATATTGAAATTACACCCTATTTCAATAGAGATTGTGTTACGTTTTCTCATAAGCACAAAAATTCCTCTTCCATTCACAATCATCACAATTTATTATTTTATTATTATTTATTATTTTCAAGTATTATATATTTTTACTTTTTTACTCGATCTTTTTTTTCGGTGTAGATTTATTCTTTGACCACTATTTTTTTTATTTTTCTGTCATCTATATAAATTATTTTATATATTTATGTTGTACATTTGTCATTTTTTTTATATATAACTAATAGATTCTTTCTTTAAGTTGATGATTCTTGATAATCCAGTTCATCTAAATTTGATATATAAACTAATTAGGACCAACTTAATAATAAAGAGTTCGTTATATTACACAAGATTTTAGATTTTAATTTTGTCGTTATCATTAAAAGAATTAAAAACATGTTTATCCGTGCGAGTGTTAATGTAAACATTAATATTTTTTTTTACTGATTCACGTAAAGTTATAGCTTTAAATAAAAAAGGGAAATGTAAATAATAAAAAAAGTAAAATTTAAAAAACAATTGAAAGTGGTGGTGTAGATTAGTAAGAGTCAGAAATATTTTATTAACAGGCCCAATTATGAGCCCAAATCAAGGTAAGAACAAGGCCAGGTTAATTAAATGACAATTATAGTCGGTGTGTAACTTGAAAAACTTGTACATATATCAATCTATCTTTCTTGCAGCGACGTAATTTATATTCGTTTCGAGTTCTACTCGAGCGATCTATATCTCATTGCTTCAACCATGGTGTTTATCGCGTCACCCAACCGCAAAACCCTAGCCATAGATGTAAACCCTAACACTACCACTCTCCATCACCTCAAACTCGCAATCCAACAAACCCTAACCCTTCCAATTTCCCAACAGCGCCTCTTCCTCTCTCAGAGTCACCGATTAACCGCCGTTAATCACGACGACGATGATTCGGTTCTCATCTCCGATCTTGGCGTCGGACCCTACTCATCCGTAACCCTCCATGTCCCCCTGCTCGGCGGCACCAATCCTCCGGCGGTGCCCAAACCCCGCTTCGATTTCCTCAACTCCAAGCCCCCTTCCAACTATGTCGCCGGACTTGGACGTGGTGCCACCGGATTCACCACTCGTTCCGATATTGGTCCCGCAAGGGCTGCCCCTGACCTACCGGACCGCTCCGCTACCACCATTGGTGGAACTGCCGGCGCCGGACGGGGGCGAGGGAAGCCCGGCGAAGAGGAGGATGATGACGAAGGAGAGGACAAAGGGTATGACGAGAATCAAAAGTTCGACGAGTTTGAAGGGAACGATGTTGGATTATTCGCCTCTGCGGAATACGATGAGGATGACAAAGAAGCCGACGCGGTTTGGGAAGCTATTGATAAGAGGATGGATTCACGGAGGAAGGATAGGAGGGAGGCCAGGTTGAAGCAGGAGATTGAGAAATATCGTGCATCTAACCCTAAGATCACGGAGCAGTTTGCTGATTTGAAGAGGAAGTTGTATACACTTTCTTCGGAGGATTGGCAGAGTCTTGAGAAGTTTGAAAGTGGGGGTTATTCGTCCAGGAACAAGAAAAAGAGGTTTGAGAGTTTTGTGCCTGTGCCTGATACTCTTCTCGAGAAGGCAAGGCAGGAACAAGAGCATGTGACAGCGTTGGATCCAAAGAGTAGGGCTGCTAATGGAACGGAGACTCCTTGGGCACAAACCCCAGTTACTGATTTGACTGCTGTTGGTGAGGGTAGAGGTACTGTGTTATCTTTGAAGTTGGATAGGCTGTCAGATTCGGTTTCTGGGATGACGAATGTGGATCCCAAAGGGTATTTGACCGTGCTTAATAGTATGAAGATTACTAGTGATGCTGAGATTTCGGATTTCAAGAAGGCTAGGTTGCTGCTCAAGAGTGTTACTCAGACGAATCCGAAGCACCCTCCAGGTTGGATTGCGGCTGCTAGGCTGGAGGAGTTGGCAGGGAAACTTCAGGCAGCTAGGCAGCTGATACAGAAAGGGTGTGAGGAGTGTCCCAAGAACGAGGATGTGTGGCTGGAGGCTTGTAGGCTGGCTAATCCGGATGAGGCAAAGGCGGTGATTGCAAGGGGTGTTAAGTCGATTCCCAATTCGGTGAAATTGTGGATGCAGGCTGCGAAGTTGGAGCATGATGATGCGAACAGGAGTAGGGTTTTGAGAAAGGGGCTGGAGCACATTCCTGATTCGGTTAGGCTGTGGAAGGCTGTTGTGGAGCTTGCTAATGAGGAGGATGCTAGGCTTTTGCTTCACAGGGCCGTGGAGTGTTGTCCCTTGCATGTTGAATTGTGGCTTGCACTTGCGAGGTTAGAGACATATGACAATGCTAAGAAGGTTCTTAATAGGGCAAGGGAGAGGCTACCCAAAGAGCCAGCTATATGGATAACAGCTGCGAAGTTGGAAGAAGCTAATGGCAATACTTCCATGGTTGGGAAGATCATTGAGAGGGGTATAAGGGCTTTGCAGAGAGAAGGTTTGGTGATTGATAGAGAAGCTTGGATGAAGGAAGCAGAGGCCGCAGAGCGAGCTGGGTCGGTTGTAACTTGCCAAGCAATAGTCCATAATACAATTGGGATTGGAGTTGAGGAAGAAGATAGGAAGAGGACATGGGTTGCTGATGCAGAGGAATGCAAGAAAAGGGGTTCTATTGAAACAGCCAGAGCTATATATGCTCATGCTTTGACTGTCTTCTTAACTAAGAAGAGCATATGGCTCAAAGCAGCACAGCTGGAAAAGAGTCATGGTACCAGAGAATCTCTGGACGCATTACTTCGTAAAGCAGTTACGTACAGACCACAGGCTGAAGTTCTTTGGCTTATGGGTGCCAAAGAGAAGTGGCTCGCTGGAGATGTGCCTGCGGCTCGGGCTATCCTCCAAGAAGCTTATGCTGCCATTCCCAATTCTGAGGAAATATGGCTTGCTGCTTTCAAGCTTGAATTTGAAAACCATGAACCTGAGAGAGCTAGGATGTTGTTGGCTAAAGCCAGAGAGAGAGGAGGTACAGAAAGAGTCTGGATGAAATCAGCTATCGTGGAGAGAGAACTGGGGAACATTGAAGAGGAGAGAAGATTGTTAGACGAAGGTCTGAAGCAATTCCCTTCCTTCTTTAAATTGTGGTTGATGCTTGGCCAACTAGAGGAGCAGCTTGCAGAGAATGCAAAGCGACTTGATCAATCTGAGAAGCGACTTGATCACTTGAAGGAAGCTAAGAAGGTCTATGAATCTGGGCTGAAAAACTGCCCTAATTGTGTACCTCTATGGCTCTCTCTTGCTAATCTGGAAGAGGAGATGAATGGACTGAGTAAAGCTCGTGCAGTTCTCACAATGGCTAGAAAGAAGAATCCTCAAAACCCTGAACTCTGGCTAGCTGCTGTTAGAGCGGAATTGAAGCATGGATATAAGAAAGAAGCTGATATTTTGATGGCAAAGGCGCTACAAGAGTGTCCTAACAGTGGTATTCTGTGGGCAGCATCTATTGAGATGGTTCCTCGTCCCCAGCGTAAAACCAAGAGTGTGGATGCCATCAAGAAATGTGACCATGATCCCCATGTTATTGCTGCTGTGGCCAAATTATTCTGGCATGATAGGAAGGTGGACAAAGCTAGGACTTGGCTGAATAGGGCTGTGACACTAGCTCCTGACATTGGGGATTTCTGGGCATTGTGCTACAAATTTGAACTGCAGCATGGAACCGAGGAGAACCAGAAGGATGTATTGAAGAGATGTGTTTCTGCTGAGCCAAAACATGGAGAGAAATGGCAAACAATCTCAAAAGCAGTTGAGAATTCTCATCAACCAACGGAGTCCATCTTGAAGAAAGTAGTTGTTGCTCTTGGGAAAGAAGAGAATGCAGCTGAGAATAATAAACATTGATTTGCCAAGGTTGTAGCATCACATGTATACTTGAGCTGTGCCACAAATGGTGAGTTTTTGAAGAGAAATTTGAATATTCATCAATGATTTATACTTGAATATGTCTCATGTAGAATATCGAAGGAACTTATATATTAGTTTGATCCATGTTCTTCTTTCCTTTGACTTTTTGCTTTTATCTGTAACATCTGTATTTTTGTGTATTGCCCTTCTGTCATCTAATAACCATTGTCTGATTTTCTAGTTTAATTTCTCTTATGTATCATGAAATCTCCAACTTGACCGCTCTTATCAATCGGGAAACTCTGTTGTTGTCCAGTTTCTGTTTTGAGTGTTTTGTTGGCATGTTTATAAGATAAGTAGTTCGGTGAGCAAGGTATTTGGATACACCAAAGAACCTCAAAGCTAGTTATGTTTAGTCATTTTTCATTTTAGTTTTCTGATTCTAATTTCATGCTAATTTCTGACAATAGATAGCCCAGTTCCTATATGCACATAATTTCCCTGTTGTATATTGCTTTACTGCAATTATATATTTCCCTCTCTAAAGTATAATGTTGATTGTTCAGTGCGCTATAGTGGCATTTCTGACGCGGAGTGACCCTGGGCTGGTATATTGTCTGCTCATTAGATGACTTGTCATTCGAGCATTGAACGATTTTCTCACCCCCACCATTTGGTTTCCTATCCAAACATTATTTTGAGCACATTTTAGTGTAATTGCTATACATTATTCTTAGGGGAAATCGAATTTGAAAAGATCACTTAATTTTCCCCTCTAGCTTTTCAGTAGAGTCAATCTGTTATATTTTCTGAGCAGCCACATCTATTGCCGAAACCTTGCGGCAACAGAGAACCAAGTTTCATAGTAGTAATAGTAACCATGCTCCTCTATATCTATTTTCATGATCCGAACTGTGAAGCGGCTCAAGTTTTTGTGTATTTAAAATTAATAAGTTGCCTGCTTCCGAGTTGTATTGTAGATCTCAAGCCTCATTCATTAGGATTGTTACACTAACAAAGGATCGTAAGTTTACAGGGACCAACTGACTTAGGTAATCAGTTTAGGATTGATTAACAATTTCTGTGAATAGGTATAAGCTCAGATTGTGATGGAGGATGAGCTTGTATAAGAACAACTTTAGGCAACCAAGTAAGATTGGGCACTAAAGCAAAGGGATTCGGTCAAAATTAGCGCTTTGACTTGTTTACTCACCGTCACTGGTCCTCAATGAGATGTTATTAATGTGGAGGATAGAACAAATGTCATTTGACTTGATTAATCATTGGTTATGGTCTAGGATTGGTCCTGACAATCCTTATAGTTTAAAATTGTGAAATTAGGATGACTTGAACATCTGAAAGATCACCATTCTTACGGTAGTAATGTCTAATGGATCGTGGGATGTAGCAAATATTATCACAAGCCATTCAGTGCTGTTTCTATTAACTCTAATCACATATAATCTAAATACTGATGTTAGAATTGAAACCATCCGATGAACCTAAATCATGATATTTAAATCCAATTATATATAAGTTGGACATGGCTTGTAATAATGTAACATTGGCCGGATAGACCAAACTTGAGCGAAGGAAATAAGGATTGTTCTCCGCAAAAGCTAAAGCATTTCATATTTCTAAACCATGAAGATACAATTCCCACTTGCTGATTTTCAGAATTCAGTTACTGCTGATGACTTGGTAATATCAACAAGCATAATATATAAGATGTTCAGTATTCTGTAACAACTTGGATCCCGAAATGTTTGAATTATTGAAGCAATTCTACAAGAATTACATAGTATTTATCAAAAAGCAATCTAGCTTATTTGGTACTATAGATTAAAACTATGCTAGAATAAGTACTTGTTCAAGTTCTTAGAAATAGGAGGTTCACTTAGAAATCATCCCAGCTCAAGAAAATTCTGTGCAGTATTGCATCAGACCATCATGTACGTTGTTTGTTAAGAAATTCAATAATGAAATGGTTCACCTTCTCAGGAAATTGTTCATGTACAAAATGGCTTCCTTCTGAAATATATATGATATCCAAGTCTGGCACAAAATGTTTCAATGCCCCACTTCGGATATAGTCCTTCATGCCAGAAGTCTTTAAGACATAGTCTTTGTCACCCATGATTAGGAGTGCTGGAACTGTGACGTTAGGATCCCTGATGCCACTATCCACTCCAAGAGTCCTGCGTGGATCATTATCTGTGCTTGATAAAATTACTGAAGTTTCCTAGCCTCGAAAATGTCTAATATAAAAGAACATTTGTGTACACAAATATTTAGATTTCACTCCATGAGAACAACATGCCTATACTCAAATTACATGGAAAATATCCACTTTTACCAAATTTCTAAATGAGGTAGTGGGGCTATGAGAACCTGATTACCTGTATGGAACCTGCAATGCAAATCTGAAGCCAGATTTTTCATATAGTGATGCATAGGTTGTCAGGTCTTTCTCAGAGAACCATGGCGGTAGGGGTGTAGATGGGTTATACAAGTCCATGATTTCCTGATTATCACCTGCTACTGGTATCTCACTTCCAGAAAAGAGTGTGTAGATGTTCCTTATAATTGACTTGACATCAAAGCGGCCAAAATCTTCTTCTGCCTTCCCAGGCTCCTGAATTTAGTTAATCATTAGATCATTATTGACAGGGAGGGAGATGAAAATGATGGCAGAGAATTAGCACCTGCCACTTAATAACATAGGAGCCTTTCGGGAGGTTCTCAACAGCAGCGGGACCGGGAAGCATGAAAGGAACGCCTAAGGTTATGACAGAAGTAACTTTGTCTGGATGGAGTGCAGCTACAACATACGCCGGAATGGCACCGAAGTCCTTACCAACAAGCACAGGCTACCGACAATTTTTTTATCAAATGCAAATTAGCCTAGGTTTTCACTTGACTAAAAGAGCATTGTCTTTCCCATTTGCATTTGATATAACCAAAATATATAGGAGATAAACCAACCCTTGGTTTCAGTTTTATAATTGAGCTAAGTTCATAATGGAAATCTTGGTGCTAGAATTTAGTTTTATAATTGTATATTTTGTACTATTCTGTATATCATAAAACTTTTGCAGTTTGATAAATTTATGAGAGATATTACTTTTGTTTTGTGTTAGCACATGTCGTTGCATACCTTGCTAATGCTTAATGAATCTACAATACCCAAGATATCATCAACAAGGTCAAGTAAGTTTGCCTTTTCCGCCTCAGCTGGATGCTCAGAAAGTCCATAGCCTCTGAAATCAAAGGCAATAGCCCGGTAGCCTGCATTTGCAACAGCAATCATCTGGTGCCTCCATGTATACCATATTTCTGGGAATCCATGTAAGAAAACCACTGCGTTTTGACCTGCCCCAACAGAATTGTCACTAAAAGCGAAGTTTGACGAAAAATCAACAATATTCTGATACAGGTGTTCAAGGATTGACCACTTCCTATCTCAGCAACATGGAGCTTTAGTCCCTTCACTTCTACGTGACTGTGCTGGATGTTCTCCATCTTATTAGGCGTTAGGAGCAGGGTGGTGTTTCACTGCAGAGTATGAGAAAAGGGAGAGGAAATTATAAGGGGAGAAAATGGTATCGGACAAAAGAAGAATCTTACATATGTTTGGTATTAGCAGATACAAACAAATGAAATTGAATATTTAGATACTGTTATGAGTGCCAAAATTTGTTCAATAGATATTCTTTTATGGCATATGATAAGCATGCAAAGAACTGATGTTCATGTAATATGTTTATCATAAACTTGCAAGAGTAGTCGATTAAGCTTGCAGGTATTTATGGTTGCAATACACTCGCTAATCAGGGTGATAATCCTTCACGAGGTTGCCTTTAAGGCTTTCTGAACTAGAAACACGGCTATGACGTGGGATACAAATTACATGAATTTGACACGACAAATTTTAATTAATAACTAATAAGCTCAAGTTAAGAATTCAACGTGTAAGATAGTATAAATTGAACGAAAAATATTAAAATTTGAAAATCACAAGAAAGATTAATGATTTTCAATCGAGCTGTTATAAATATATTAACAATTACCAGTCAATTCTGGTATGAAATTTTAAAAGTATAAGTAAAAATTAAAAAAATATAACAAAAAGTATTTAAATTATTCACGCAATGTTCATCACGTATACATATTCAACATTGTTAGGACACATTGTTAGAAACAATTTTGATGTAAGCTAATAGCTTAACATCCAATCAGTGACTAGCATTTAGCCGGTGTCTTTCCCCTCAGGGCCGGCCAAGGTCACTAGCCGAATAATAGAATAATATCTTAATTAAAATAAGCATAAAAGAAAGAGGGTCCGAGATATTTATTAATTAGAGATACAATAAGTATAATTCTGACTTTATTGAGATAATTCTATATAAAATTAAATTAAGTATTTTATTATTTTTAAGAAAATATCCTCGTCACATAAAAAAGCAAAGACAACACCCCTTGTTGATAGGAGAATAAAAGCACCAGGATAACTTACAAGAAAAACTATATTTTCTGCTGAAAAGAAAGAAGAATTTGAAGCTTGCTTTAAAGCTTCACCTAATTTCTTTGGACTAATAAGGGGGACCAACGAAGAAGTCGTGTGTGAATTATAACAAATACTCAATTAATCTTTAATTGAGAGAATTATTAGAAGTTAAAAACATTAAAGAATTCGGTGAAACTTTAAGAGGCATCCCAATTTTCTTTTCCTTTACCGTTTTGCAATCATAAATGTATGTAAATTGTATAGTATTGGTGTGGCAACAGATTTATACCATCATTCTTGTCAATAGGACTAAACACGAAAATTTATGTTCTGATCTTTGTCTACGGACTTTGGCTAGATCATTCCCACAATCGACATGTGTATCTCAGGACAATCAGAAATTCATACATCAAGACCAATCGTTTTCCATCTTGATCACATTATGATGCAGTATTACATTTTGAAGTACCAGATTTAAATGAATTCTCAACAGCAATATGTTAAAAGATTTTCCATCTTAATCACATTCCTTCAGATAATAAATAATGATGGCTTGGAACTGAGTCGGTCAGAATTCTCTGCCCATGTTAAAAGAGAAAGATAAATGGTCTTACAAACCAGAAAGTATAGTCAGAATGCAATTTCTTCTCATAATATCTTCCGTCCAAATCTGTGGTTGTGGCAAGATCATCCATGCAAGCAAAGTCCTCCCTAGAATTTAACATACAGGATAGACATGCATAACTAGTGGAGTTTGTATATCCCTGGCATGACTCCATACAACCTCTTCAAATCATCATACATATTCATATAAAACATGAGCTGATAAATTAATTTGGCAAAACTGTTTTATCCTGCACAAGCTGTTCAACTTCAACATCTCCTAACTCCATTTCACTTCCTTTCTCCTGTTCATTCTTAAACATGAGCTCTATTTGCTCCAATGACTTCCCTTTGGTCTCAGGAACTAGCATGTAGACAAAGACAATGGCAAGAGAAGAAATGGCAGAAAACACAAAGAACGCTCCAGCTACTGTAATTGCACGCGAAACAGAAAGGAAAGACATGGCCACAAGGCCACTACACACCCTGTTGCCCACAGCCCCAAGTGAAGATGCTTGAGCACGCAGCCTTAAAGGGAAGATTTCAGATGTCAAAACCCAACACACAGGGCCTAATCCAACAGAAAAGAAAGCCACATTCCCACAAACAAATAGAATCGCCAATGTAATCACAAATGGTCCCTGTGAAAACAAAGAAAGACTAGCCCCTATGCTAAACAAACAAATAGTCATCCCAATTGTGCTTACAAAGAGTAGTGGCCTCCTACCTTTTCTGTCAATAAGAAAGATTGCTACCAATATAAAAAGGGTCTTTGTCATACCTACAGCAACAGTAGCAGCTAGGATTTTTGCATTATCCTCAATCCCAGCTGCTTTGAAAATCTCAGGACTGTAATACACAGTAGCATCAATTCCAGAAATCTGTTGAAAACATTGAATCCCAATTCCTGTGATCATCATTCGGCGAAGCGAAGGAGAAGGAAACAACAGTTCATACCACACAGGTTTCTCTTCATACTCGTTACAATTGCTCAAACCTGCAGCCTGCTGTATTTCTGCCAGCCTCTCCTCCACTTCACCATCACTTTCATTTGTTTTCATAAGCACTGATCTTGCTTCTTCAATCCGGTTCTGCATTACCAACCACCTTGGTGACTCAGGAATGATGAAAAGTGCAAAGCCAATGAAGACTGAGGGCAAAATCCCCACAGCAAGCATTATCCTCCAGTTTATGTGTGCTGAAAACCCTGAAAAAGCATAATTTGATACATAACCAAGCAAAATTCCTAGATTAATGAAAATCTCTGGGAAGGTAGTGAGAAAGCCTCTGCTGGTGTTTGGTGATATCTCTGCAATATATATCGGGGCAATCAAGCCTCCAAATCCGATTCCAACACCAGCTAAAAGTCTTCCAACCATTAGTATTGAAAATGATGGAGCAAGAGTCATTACTAGTGAACCCATTTGAAAAATTACTGCAGCTATGGCCATTGTCCATTTTCTACCAATAATATCTGAAGTTTTTCCACCACCTAAACTTCCGAGCAGAGAAACAACGCTCAATATGCCAACCAAAAATTCCTCCTTCACCTCAGATATCTTCAGATCTTCTTTTATAAATATAATTGCTCCACTCATCACACCCACATCTGACGGATTGCAAGAGTAAATCATGTAAACTTATGAACAACTATTATGAACTGACAGTGTATCTACTCTTATTTAATCATAAATATAGTCAATTTGTTAATGTTTATAGTAAATATCTTAACAAAATAAGTACTCACAAGTCCAAAGTTGAAAATGTTGGAAGTTCTTTCATGAATCTAAAAAAGGAAATCAGGTCACAAACATGAATCACAAAAAAAATAAGAGACTAAGCGAATAGAACATACCATAGCCGAGAAGGACATTGTTGAGAGAAGCAAAGGTTGCACATGCTATAACAAATTTCCTGGTACTGTTCCTCCTTGCTTCCTGATGCAAAACCTCATCGTCCCCATCTGGAAGCTCGGAGTGCATCCTCTTGTACTTGTTCTTTGTTCCCAAAGTGATTCCAGACAACCCCACTTCCCTATTCCCATGTTGTTGGAATCCCATTCTATCTCCTGTTTCTTTGTAACTTGCAGTAACCTCTGAGAGATTGTGTTTGGATCTGACTTATGAGACTACTAAAACCATGGCATGGAAATGAAGGCTGACCTGACGGTATACAAGGACAAGACTCAACAAGTGGGGGCACTTTTTATGTCATGAAAGAAAAAACAACCCCGATTCCTAATACCATATTTTGTTTGCTTCCATGTGTGACCTTCCACTTTAATCAAACTTTAAATGGTGTTTTCAATGCAACATCTTAAAATCATTGATAAAAATGACCAATCACTGAATTTTGGGAATAAACTACATCAACATGCTATATATATTAAATTATTGTAAATAGAATACAATATTATTCACATTTGAATTATTAGAAAAACAACAAGACACATTCTCCAGAGTTAGATCTAAATTAAAATTGAAACATGGTAAATTGACATCTGTTCTTTAAAATATTTTGGTTTGGATCATCCTTAGTTTTTTACATTGTCTGTTAGTCGTAATCGCCAAATCAAATCAAATGCATTGATGAGGAAAACGAAATCTGAAAGTCTTTTAATTAATATCCTCATAAGATGACATTCACGCAAAGAAATCATAGCATCTCATCAAGGAAAATTTTAATGGCTTGATACTGCTACTTCTTTTTTGCTTCACTTTGATCCAACTAGTTTTAACCACTCTTTCGTAGGTACATGAAAAAATAAGTCAAGAAACAATGCATCAGTTAAAATTTGCTAGTTTAATTCCTAACCACTATGCAATATGCGTGGTGAGAAAAATGGGTAGTTAAATTTTTCATTAAAGATTATCTAAACTTTCTGTTCTTGTACCAGTGCTAATACTTGATTCTATGTCATGCATAAGCTCATGACAAACTTTGGCAAGATATTTAAGTTAATTTTTAATTTTTTTTATTGTCTGGATATTTTTATTTTATCTTATAAACAAAATTTAGTAAATAAATATTTTTTAGCATTTTATAACGTGTTTTGAAATATTACTTTTAATAGTAAATTTTAAAACTACAACTTCTAACTATTAATATTATTTTTTTCTTAATAATTATTAAATTAGAGTTTCACCTTGTTTCTTAAATAAAACAGATTTTATTATATTTTAAGATATACAAATCAACATAATAAAAATAGGATATATACTTAATTATATTATTTTTATTTGTAATATTTTAAAATATTGTACAAGATTAATAATAAAACATGAATATGAAATAGTAATTTAAACTAAATAATACAATGGAAGTGAATAAATTATAAATAAAAATCATAATAATTTAAAATTAGTAAAAACTAAATTATACATACCCTAAAAGTTTTTTTATCAATAAATGAAAAATTAACATTGATATAACAAGTATAATTTAAACGTGGCTATTTATAGTATTTTACATTTATCTGTTAATTTAAAAATTATAATTTAATAACTTTTTGCTAATAAATTTTTCATGTTTTTGTTAGTTTCCAACTAAGTTTATCAAACATTGCCTACATGTGTTTTACTAAGGTTTCGATTTTGGCAGAATTAACATAGTTAATAAGTTTGATCATATCCATCTAAAAATAGCTATAAAGAAGTTTATAAAATTTCACACAATTTTAAAATCAATTAAATAGTATTTAATATGGTATTTAAAATAATCACTACAATAAACGCGACAAAAATCTTAAATCATTGAATAAATTTAAGACTATTTATTTAAATTGATTTTTATTTAAAATCTTAATTGTTCTCTAACTTCAGTTATTGATTGAAAAGTTAAACTCTAAATTATTAATGAATTATAGTGACTACTTATTTTTATTGAAAAAAAATTAACGTTTTTTATTTTATTTTTTATATTTTTATAATATTATAGTATTTTTTGGTGAATCTCTTAGTATCACGAAAAAAAAATTATTTAATTTTGAATTTAATGATTAATCTTATTATAAAATTTGGACTAATTTTGAAAGTTGAAATATAAAATTTTTATTAGTATTTTGTGGATAGTAAGAATTTTTGTTAAAGAGGAGATCTTAGTATTTCCTCTTATACAAAACCTTTAAAATTAGATTAGGTAATGCAGTTGCTTTGTATCCTTATCAGCATTTTTTATTATTATTATTGTGAGTGTCTTTGATAACAATGAAATTTGTGAATCTTGGTCTGCATGAGGTTTAAAAATTATGGTGGTTGGTGCACTTTTTAAACGATGGAGAAAGGGTTAATAAGGAACTGGTATTGGAGATGTAAGCAGTGGATAATTGTACCCCATTTTGATTCCAAGGGTCATAAATATGCATGTAGCAATGAATGGATACTTCAAAGTGACTCTACTAGGATTTTAAAGCCAGAATGACACACAATATCATCTCATCTTTTCATGAACAAAGTAATGGCAGTGTTATTTAGTGCGTTTCGATTTTGACTGTCAAAGACGTAACATCAATCAAAAAGTAGAAACACTGTTAGCCGTTACTGATTTTTATAACTTATCTACTAAGTAGTAGATTCAAATCATTATCAGCGTTTGTGTAGAGGTTCTAAGTCATTAACTTTCACGTTCTGAAACTCTAGTTATGGCATAGGGCAATTCAGTATAAATACGCTTGAAAATAGTCGTAGGGTTGTTTTTTCTTTTCTGTTTCTAGGGTAACTTTATGGTGATAAACGACCATGCAAAACTTCATCCTTGGTTAATACTAATTGAACATGACATTGCTTGTAATTTCTTAAAGTTTGGGTTACGATGAGGATAAGGTATTATTAAGGTAGGATGGAAACAAATAGGTGATGGATACAGTTAAAACAGTAGGAAAGCAATTATGACTTTGGCTATTTGCTTGTTGGCAAGGCAACTTGGAGAAAATTCAAGGAAACTTGAACCCCACTTGTCTCTGAACTTGCTGAAGTTGTTTTCTTTGCCTTAACTGACTCACTTTTGCATTGCATGCACTTCATCAAACAGTTGGTGGATTTGGTTGTGTGATCAAAGCTAGATTGTTATCAGTGATGTATGCAATCATGTTTTAATTGGCTGATGGTAACACTGCAAATTACTTACTAACCTTATCTCCTTTTTAATGAGTTAGTTTGACCTTGAATGAGATTTCATGCTAAAATGCCCCAAAAGCTTAGTTTCAATCAAGTTTTCCTAAGTACTTTTAATTCCCAATTTATACACAAACATACTTCAATTTAAGTTTATCCAATACTTCATAATCAATTTATATAAAAACTCGTTCCAGAATTTGGATGATAAGTAATTAAAAAATATATATACAAGATGTCTTGATATTAAATACCAATTTCATGTTGTTTTCTACATGTTGTTTCTAAATTTATCTTTGCATTTATCATTATTTTCAATATAATTATTCCAAATGTTTATTTTTTTGTACGTAACTCCAAAAATGACGTGGTGACAGCAATATAGATCAAATTGACAATGATTATATGTATGAATTGGATTACAAAAAATCATTTTTGTAGAAGGATCAGATTAAAAGCTAGTGACACGTGTATATACGAAAAAAACATGGGAAGAAAAAAAAATGGTGTTTCTAAAACGTTTACTGATTGTATAATTTATTTATAATGAAGAAATGTTGATGGGAGAAGGAATTAAAAGATTAGGTTTGGTTTAGATGAGGATGAAGAGTGAACTTAATTAACTAGGGCTACGTCACCAGCATAGCGTGGTCCAAGATATTTTGTTTATCGTTTAGCAATAGTATTACCTTGTACATGAGTATGATGGTGATTATGGTGTATAATTAACCACTTGATTTTGAATTAAAAGCATTATTAATGATGCTAAAGCTCATCGTTATCGTGCCGTCGCAAGTAAGAAATGTGATGATCTCATGGGCCGGTGATTGGGCCCACTTCTGCTAACCATACTTAATTATCCTTTGAAAATAAAATATTAGTTGCAATAATTAACGTGGAAAGTCTGCGTTTACTTTGTCCTCTTTTGTATCTCCTTTGTCACCAATTTACATGAGACAATTTTGGATTCCATAGTTGGTGGGGTTCATAATCCACAAAATTAAAGGCCATTTTTCTTTTTATCAAACACTTATCAGGGCAAATATATCAACACAAGGAAAAAAATATATATAAAATAGATAACAAAGTATTAAAGCTATTCAAATACAATGGATTCAAATTTGGTCTATGCAACTATAATAAACCTAAAGAAATTACACAAGATCAGTTGCTTACGCGCGCATGCTGAATGATGAAGTTAATCATTCCTACTATTATATATTCACCCAAAAAGTTATTTAAATTTTCTGAGAAACTTCTTAATTGTTTTGGGAGAAGATGAGTGTGTTCTAGTTTCATTTTGGTTGAAAATAGTGAGAAGAAGAAAATGAGAAGTTATAATATTAAAGACTAATTTGATTTTTATGTAAAAATTAAACTAAATTTTTCATTATTTGAAAGATTAAATTGATATTATCTCACCCTTCAAAGAGCAAGTTGCTGGTTTAACCTAGAACAAATAAATTATGTCTGTCAAAAACATTATTTGGTCAAACTTATGGGAACTAGAAATTCCTAGTGTTTCCCCCACAGACGGTGGTGAGCTTGGTTCATAAATTGATTGATGTTGGTCAACATTATCTGCTTTCAATATCAGACTAGGGACCTAGGACTCTTGAATCTTCCAACTTATATCACAAGGCAAGTACTGTACATACCTTTAATCCCTTCATATTTTCCTTCTAACTTTTTACTTTTTAGGTGTGCTAAAACAAACCATTTCCAAACAATAAGGTGCTTCTTGGATATATAAGATGCTGGAATACGGCAAAGAGGTGCTGGATATTTAATATAACAAAAAAGAAAAAAATACGTAGATGATGACATACAAACTACAAATGAAGCAATAACAGTGTAAATCCATCTTGGAGCTGAAAAACATAGCTCATAATTGATGGACCAACAAAGAAGGAAATCACAAAACTGTCTCCTTCTTCCTTCCTCTTGCCAACTATTTTTACTACATTATAAAAAACTATAGTGCATGAGAGTCAAGGAAAAACTGAAAAAAAGTTAAAAAAAAAACATAGAATACAGCAAGGATGCTGAAAGACCCTTAAAAACAAAGAGCCTTGGCACAGCAGAGATATTCTAAAAATGAATATTGGACTAGTAGGCAAGGTTGGTTCACAGGTTGTGTGGTGAAAATATCTGCAACCAGTGAGAAGAAGTAAGTGAGAAATCATCAAAGTGTCCTAAGATGCATAATGGATAATCATGAAGGTGCAATCAGGAAGAGAAAGAAGCAACTGGAGAGAAGAAAATGAACTTGAATCAATCCTGATCCTTCCATAAGTAACCTGGTCCTGTGTTGTGTTCATGTCTCTGAGCATCATTAGTAGCATAATTGAACTCTTGCTGATTGGAATTTGAAAAAGGAACGTGTGATTGGTAAAGAAGATTATTGGTGGGATCCAAATCATCCCACACAGGACTACCGGGTCCCCAAGCTGCAGGAATAGCATTGAACCAAGCAGACATTTCTCCCCAAACAAGTTCCTGAGAAACCCCTTCACCTCCTTCTGCAGCAGCAGCATGAACCTCATCACTCACAGTGGCGTCACTCGATCCAATTCCCGAGTCATTCTCGTTAGACTCTTCTCTTGGCATGTCACGGCCTTCAGGAACGGGTTCATCTGCATGCTGGTTTTGAACGGGTGAAGAAGGTTCTTCTTGAACTTGTTTGTTTTTGAACATTTCGGGGAAATTTAGTCTGGCATTTTCTCCTCGGAGTTTGAAAGCTTCACGGTCGTAGGCCATGGCGGCGTCCTCCGCCGTGTCGAATGTGCCTAGCCAGAGACGCGTTCTGTTTCGAGGAAGACGAATTTCAGCGACCCATTTTCCCCAATGGCGTTGCCTCACTCCTCTGTAGAGCTTGGTCGTGTTTATGGGCTGCGATGGAGGCCTAAACAATGGCCTTCCATCTGGCCCCAAATGGGTTAACATTCCTCTGGGACTTAGATTCAGCGCGTCTCTCCAATGCTGAAGAAGTTGCTGTGGATGCTGCTGCTGATGGTGGTGGTGTAGAAAAGAAGAATCTCGGGCCATGATTGGTGGAAAGGGAAGATTTTGTTGTTGGGACCCGAATGATATCATCTGTTGTTGGTTTTGGAAAGAGGGGAGAGGAAAAGGCGAATTTGTGGCTCCGAATTGGTGAGGGAATTGCATTGGGTGTTGGGAACCGTTGAAGGCGAAAGGGAACACAATTCTTGAAGAGGATGAAGGAGGGGTAGAGAGAGGAGAAGGTTGAAAAGGAACAGAAGAAGAAGAGGAAGAAGATTGGCTTGTGTTATGGCGATCGGGGCTGCGGATTTTCTTCAGAGGTCTATTGTATGAAATGGAAGTATCATCAAAAACTGGCTTCCATTGACGCCTCTGAGAGCTTGAATCCACGCCCTTTCCCTTTTCAATTCCCCAATCTTTGCTTTCACTTCCTTCCTGGAAACAATTGTGAGTTTCATCTCCCCCATCAAATTTTCCACTGTTCGCTGCAGCCATGACTGTTTACAAATACACAACACTGCTCGCTCTCTCAAAACCAAAGCTTGTTTTGAAGAAGTAAAATAAAGATGGATGTTGTAAAAAAAGAAAGATTCAAATCAGAGTGATCTATTATATTCAGGAGTCAGATTCAGATTTGGTCGCACAATAAAACAAAGACCGAGTTTCAGAATCTGGGTTTGTTCTGTTCCAACACTGACAAAATAAAAAAACAGAATCAGATGCCAAAGTTATTTCCTTTAGAGAAACCCATCTTCAATTTCGTGTTTGCAAAGAACAAAATCAAAGATGAGAGAGCGAGCAGGTGAAAACAGTAGGGGTCTTCGAAGAGTTTTCTTTTTGTGTCAATTTGTGAGATGGGAAAAAGAAACTCAGGTGGTGAAGCAGGGGAGATTGTGTTGTGAGGGAAAAAAGAGTGTTGGGAGAGCGGTTTATATATGAGAGCCAGAAAGAGGTTTAAATCCAACTTTTATTTTAAGAAAAAATTATAGTTCATTGGTTGGCTAGAGTGGAGCCCACGCGCTTGTGTCTTTGCTTCAACACCAATCTCTCTCTTCAATTTCATTCTCAACCACTTTGGTCACGTTTCAGTCACGCACCTTGAGATTACTGTATCTATCTTCAGCTTTCCACATGTTTCAACAAAGCACCTTTGAACCCAAACAGTTACATAACTGTGCTATTGTCCGATGTGTTGAAACCGGATTGGCGCCATCATCACTGCTCAGATATTTCTTCTGCACAAGTTCCATTCTTACTCTTCTTTTATATATTTGTTTCACTTCAAAGATGGAGAATAAAATGTGAGACAAGATTCATGACATGATGAAAAAGCTTTCACAGTCATTGTCCTGTTGTTGTGAAGGTGGGTGATTCATGCACTTGGAGGAAAAAGGATAAAAAATAGCTAATAGATATTTTGGGTAGAAGATATTTATGCTTTTAAATTAAGTGTACCACATGCTCAAGTATTTTTCAATTTCAGCCCAAGACGACTCTGGCCGAGCCAACCAAAATTTCATCTCAAATCATGGCTTGTTCCCAATTGGAAATATAGAATAATTAACTGCTCTTACCAAATTCTATTAAAGTAATTGATGCCTTGTTTTAAAATATTTGTAGTAAATGAACACATTATAAGTTCTCTATTCTATTTTTCCCATCGTTATCAAGAGGGGTGTTGCTCCAAAGATGGTCACTTCTTGCATACTTCATGGTGTTATAAATAGATCACAGTCATCTACGTATATTTACTTGCTTCTGATATAGATGTATCTTTTGTTTCTGGTATGGATATGGATAAAACTCTTGATTACTTTTTGTTAGATCTAATTGTGCTCGATTCCTTTGTAACATGTGCAGACAGTGAAAGTTTTATGTTGAGGCTTTTTCACCAAAACGATCGACCATGAACTTTTGTTACACTCATTGAAGCCTGTGATCGAGGTTGCTCTTATCTTCAACAAACTGTTAGACAGTACAGTGTTAGTTTTCTTAGTTTTGTACGGTGAAACAGAACTATTATTTATCTACTCCATTCATCCTTATAGTTATTTTTGTTAAATGGATGTAATTTCTTTTTAAATTTATTAAAATAGATAAAGTTTAAAAAAGTACGGATTTAAGTAAATTGTGTTATAATACGATTCTACCTAGAAAATTCATATTTTATAGTACGATTTTTATATAATAATTATTATAATTAATAATAATATATTTTATATTATTAAATAACAAATTAAATAATAATGACAATAATTTAATTTATATTATTATTAAAATTATTATTTAAATTAATATAAATATTACATGAATTATAATTATTATATTAATGTTATTAAAATAAAATAATATAAAAATGAATAATTATTAATAAAATTATATTTTTATTAAATAATAATAATAATAATAGTAAATATATAAATAAGTAATAAAATTATAATTATTAAAATAATTATTTTATTTTTAATATTATTTTACTTTATATAATTATAATTATTAATTTATTTTATTATTAATAATAAAATTGAAATAATATTAGTTATTATAATTATATTACTTTTAATAATATTATTTTTATTTTATTATTAATAATATAATATTAATTTAAATAATAAAAATAAATAATAACTTTAATAATAATATAAATTAAATTGTTATAATTATTATTATAATATAAAATTTAAATTCGTACTAGACTTGTAGAGTATTTGATAATACGGCTTGTTTAAATTCATAATTTTTTAAAAGTTTATTTATTTTAATAAATAAATAAAAATTACACCCATTTAATAAAAGCCCCGTTATAAAGAAAAGAAAAAAAGAGAGTAAAATCATCTTTTTCTCATAAATGAAAACTGTACCATGAGAATGCAACAGAAGAAAAGAGACATTAAATATGAAAAGCTGAGTAGTGTTTGAAAATATTTCCTTTTGAAAGTTTAATTAGGTCACAGAAGCAGCTTGCTTGAATTACGTTTATTATTGTTATCTCCATAATTTGGACCATTTTTCTAATTAAATTTATGTCCATTCTAGTTAATTATTATTACAGAAGTAATTCATCAAAGTAATAAAGATTTATGTATGAATTAATTTATAAAAATTCTCTTATTTAATTAAAAAAAGATTTTTAATTTGAATATAAACTAATTCTAACTTATAATTAAAAATTACTTTCAAAAAGAGTTCATAATAATAATTACTTAAAATAAAAATAAATATTTTATTCTAAATCTTGTATATAAATTATTTAAAAATTAATTAGATTTATTTATGCAGATAATTTTCTTCCCATTTTAAAAAATGAGACTAAAAAAAATATTTAATCTTATTTCTAAGAATTTTTGTTAACATGTTGTAAAAAGACTTATGTAAGTGTTTGATTTTTAATAATTTGACTGACCAAATTGTTAATATTTAAAGTGTATGAAATTGTATAATCACAATGTAAATTTGTAGGCAGATTTGATGTTCAATTGTTTTTATTTATCAAACTTGATTGATTGAAGTGAGAAATAAAATGGAAGCTTATTTCAAAAAGATTTTCAGTGCTTTGTAATAAAAAATTAAAAGTTAATCGAAGATAAAAACGATGATTGTTCCTTAAAAACTAACTATCTAATGTCTTTTTAAAACTTTGAAGATGTGAAAAGAAATGAACTACATAACAACTACAACTACAAAAAAACAGAACGAGAAATAATGCATGATCAACTTCTTCTCTTAATTTTATAACATTCAATTAATAGTGTGAAGAGAGTAACGTTGCGTTGCATGTGGGTAAAGAAAAGCAAAGTTGTGAGTGAAATGTGTGTGCGGCAGAGGATCCACGTATTGGTGGCCTCACTTTCACTTTCACTTTCGGTGGAACAATGCAAAGGATTCAAACATTGAAACCACTCTTGAATATGCTTGTCGTTTCAAAGTCAACACCATAACATTTTTTTTTTCATATAGGTCGGCGAAAATCGGCACGTGTCGGTGCTCCATTATACTCTTCCATCATTTTGTTCGATACTATTCCTCGTCTCTTTACATTCTTTTTATTATTATTATTATTATTATCGAATTAATATTAATATTAATTTCGTTTTCTGTCAAAGTCATATGACACCAAAATATCAAACATGAACTTATTTGATAAGTTATTTTATTTCATTTATAGTTTGTTTAATTGGTTTATAGGATCAATTTATTAGAATATGGAGTTTGGTTACATTGTTTGTCTTATTAAGGTCAAAGTAATAAGTTGGTTCTTAAATTATTTCAGAATTTTTAGAATAATATAGCTAAACTAAAAACTGTTGTCTATGTCCCTAAATTTAAAAGGCCATTTAAAAGTTCAGTCGCTAAATACTATTAATGTATCTACACAAAATACTTTAATGCTAAAGTCAGATAAGATTATGGATATTCAATCTTTATATATATATATATAAAGAAATATATATTTTACCCGTTATTTCTTATTTGAGTTAAAGAAAAGTTTTTTCAACCTTCTACAATTATATGAAACATACGTATGGTATTTTGTGAATGTATTAAAACCGTAGGAGCACAAACTAATAATACATCACACTCAATTTAAAACACAACCTTCAACGGCTTACATTTGATCTTCTAATACATTACTTTCAACCTCGCAAGCAAATACATTGTATCAGCTGCATCATTACATTATTTTCAACTGCAGTTTTGATACAGATTTAACTTTTTCTCGAATTTTCTATGTTGTATTATTAGCTATGCATGAACACTCATAACTTCATATTCAATAGTTCAATCACTCATTGTAACACCCTACAAATTTACCTGTCTTTTATAAAATCCTACAAAAAATTATTAACTGGAATTTATTACAAATATTTGAATTTGGAATGTAATAATTAAATTTAATTATAAAAATTCAATCAATAAAAACACCATAATCTGTTATTTATTTATTTATTTTAATTATAATAATCTATAATTTGATTGGAAAAATATTTTAAAATTTTTACTTATAAGTGTGTTTATAGACTAAATTTTGAGGAATAATAATTTATTATTATGAAAGTATAGTAAATAAGTAGATGAAATTAAAAAAACTTCACAGGAAGTTACTGACTAATAAAAATTTAGAGAGATACAAGCACGCTGCAAAAAATTATTTCATTTATGACCATTAAAATGGTAAATTTTAAAGTTAAAAGTCGTTATAAACAAAATTTACAATAATTAGAATAATTGTCATATTTATATAGGTAAAAAAACGATTTATGTCAGAAAATTTTATAATTAATAATTATTTATAAATTAATTTTGTAATTATTTTATAATTAATAATTAAAATACCTATTTTTATTTAAAATTACTTTAAAATATGATGATTAGTGTAATAATAATTTTATTTTTATAATAAAATGGACAATCTAAAGATATAGTATATCAACGAGTTAAATTATTTATATTAAAAAAATAATGATATGTATAATATATTTTTATTTATTTTAATAACATATAATATATTTGTTTGATTCTCATTAAAAATGATTAAATTTATATTTTATAAATATAATTCAGATTGATAAAGTGCTTAATTAAATATAATTTAATATTAACTAAAATAAAACAAAATTTTATTTCAAAAATTTAACAAAATTCATCACATTATTCGTTAATAAAGTATACCTAACAAAATATAACGTTAATAGGTTCACAAATTTCATAATATAGGTTAAACTTAATATATTATATCTAATAAAATATAATGTCAAACTTTATAAAAATTATTATCTAATGAATATTTGCCTATGATGTTGACATATTTCATGTGAAATAAAAATTTTATCATCTTAATATATATATATATATATATATATATATATATATATATATATATATAAAAGATATTAAACTCCATATAAGTAATTAACAATATAATTTCATTAACACAAAATATGAAGTACTTACATATAATGTTAAATTCTTTTAAAATTATTATCTAATATAGATTCTCCTTGTGATATTGACATATCTTATCCACACTCTTTATTTTATAAAATAAAGATCATATCATGTATACATAATTAAAAATTATATACAAGATATTAAACTTCAAATTACCATTAAATAAAATTTAATTAACAAATTAAAATAATGATATTTTAGTTGAAAAATACAATTCTAAAAATTATGGTTATTATTGGACTTTTCTCCCGCTCTCGGTGATTAAAAATCCAAATATTATCTTCATTTTTAGTGTTAAGTTGAGGATTCAAAAATATTTCTCTTAAGAATTTGATGTTTGGATAAAAAGTTTTAGTTGCCAAAGGTCAACTAATCAAGACCATGTAAAATATTGAAAAGGGTATTTGGAACATGGTCAACAACATTGTTAGCAACAAACAGGAATAAAGTGATAATAAAAGGACTAATGTGTGATTCTTCACAAGTCATAGGTTGATATTTGTAAAAAAAAATTGTAACCTAAAATTAGCTATATATTATTGTATATTGCATAAAACAATTATGAAAAACAAATATTAAACTTACCACAATAGACCTTGCCTCCTTGTTAATACAGTAATTCATTATTCTTCTTCTTTTGAGTAGCAATGTACAATTCTCCTCGACACATAGCACGTTAAAGATAATTCTTATGAAACAAACAACTTATTAATTCAAAACCAAGTTAAAAAAAATTATTGGTAATAATTATTTTTTATAACTACCTTATATTTTGAACTTAGATGATAATCATCAAATGAAGACCACTTATCTTTGTGAATATCATTAAAAACAGTAGCAATTAATTTCTCTCTTGATAATGAGCTATCATAAAAACAATTCCACAAACTCATCTTTCCATTTCTATACTTATTCGACATGCAAAATAAACAATATCGCTCAATAGATATTTCTGTTGGAAACGTAATAATTTCTAAAAAAAAAAAGACGATTAGTATATCATAATTAAAAAGAATAAGGTTGTAAATATGAGCTCATGCATGTACCTTTAAAGTGTTAAAACAATCATCCTTGTATGATTTTGGAACATTTAGCCATCTACCAAAATTTATGGGAATATTATTTGAATCTTTAACAATAAAACCATAAGATGATGAAAGAAGTGAAACTACTTCTCCATAGGCTCGGAATTGTCTATCAGATAGCACAACTATAAGTTCACCACGAGGCATCTCAAACACACTTGGTTTTGACATTTAAACTATTTTTGTATTTCCTTGTGTTGGCAAGTTTTGGGTCTTGTATATATATGATATATAATTTAAATATGTTAGGACTATTATTTATTAAGCTAAATAATAAAGTGATATGACTAAATTAAAATTTTGGTTAAATGCATATGTCATGAAAATAAAATTGTTTAGAGACCATAGAGTAATTTCTAATTTGATGAGGGGTCAAATTAGAAATACTAAAACTTAAGTAATTAACCTAATTCTGTTTATTTAAAGGGTCATGGTCCCCTTCTGAGAGCACACACACAGAATGTAAGTCTCATTTCCCGTTCCTTTCTTTCTATCCTCATCAAGAGAGAAAATCCAAAGGGAAAATAAAGGTGTTCTTCAGGTGAAAGACCATAAGATCAATAATGCTCTAAAAGAGACATAATCATTATGGCTAATTCAGGTACGCTTTCGCATTCAGTCTACAACATGTTTATGAGTATGGGATAATGTTTATGTTTGATCGTTAGAATCAAAATCAGGATCATAATTATTAGTTTTCTATTAATTGGTATCAAAGCCGCCCATACTTGATTCATGTCTATCTTAAGAAATATTTAAAAATTCAGATTTAGTTTAATTTATAAAATCCCAATTTTCGTGAACACTACAATTTAAATTTGGGGGTAACATCCCCAATCTGATTTTGCTCGCTGATGAAAGTGTGGAGGAGACCCCAATTTTTATCCGAGCACACTAATCCACTCGCACTGTGCGATCCCCAAATTGGCTAATTCAGGGTTTCTTAAAACCAAATAATTTTATCATAAAGAGATAAAGTTTCATCATTGTAGCAGAGGAAGCTATGAATTCTTCTTCTTCGTTTTTTCCTTTTGTTTTGGTTTAAGTTTCAAGTTTTACTGAGAAAGAAATAATGTTTCAAGTTTCAATCTTTCTTGTATTGGGTTATCTGTTCTCTTTGAATCTTTTATTTTTGTTTTTTTTTTCCTAGATTTTGTTTTCACTTTCTTTTCATGGTGGATATGGATGGGTTTGGAATTGGGGGTGATGTTGGGGGAGTTCTCAACACAAAGGATCTTAGGCAACTGGTGAATGTTTTCACAGGTGTGACTATTCTTATTTTATTGTCTTTATCCTTTGGGAGTTTAAGGGAAGTTGATGTTAAATTCCCTGTTTAGTATTTGAGTGATTACTGTTTAATCCCCTTTTAGGGTTTAGGTGGTTGCACTGTTTCTTGAGCAATGTGTTAAAGAGGGTCAAGACTATCTCTGTTTCATCCCTAGTGTGATTCTAGAGAGGTGTTCATCCTTAGTGAGATTCTAATGAGGTGATTGTCTTTTGAATTAGTTTGCATTGTTAACTTTAAATAAATAAATATTAAATATTTGGTTTTGTTATATAAATAAAATATTCAATTTTTTGGTAGTTTAATATTTTTTGTGAGCAAATTTAGTCAAGAAGTCACCATAGTAACATCTCTTGAATTGATAGTTCGTGAAAAATATTGAATGTTAATATTTGTGTATATTCATGTGAGTATTAGTCGACCCAAAGGAAGATTAATATTTGGCCGAATTGCATACATACTTGTAATGATAAACATGTGATAATTA